CCTTTCAATATCCTTTCAATATCCTTTCAATATCCTTTCAATATCCTTTCAATATCCTTTCAATATCCTTTCAATATCCTGTCAATATCCTTTTAATATCCTTTCAATATCCTTTCAATATACTTTCAATATCCTTTCAATATCCTTTCAATATCCTTTCAATATCCTTTCAATATCCTTTCAATTTCCTTTCAATATTTAACCTGTGAACAATATTTGCTAGAAGATCATTATGTTTCAGTTTATAGTTGATATCCACTTTCTCATAGTTTACAGTTAGTATTCCACCATTTATACTTCGTTCCTAGAATACATAGTTTACAGTTAGTGTTCCACCATTTATACTTCGTTCCTAGAATACATAGCTTACAGTTAGTGTTCCACCATTTATACTTCGTTTCTAGTATACATAGTTTACAGTTAGTGTTCCACCATTTATACTTCGTTCCTAGAATACATAGTTTACAGGTATAGTGTTCCTCCATTTATACTTCGTTTCTAGAATACATAGTTTATAGATAGTGTTCCACCATTTATACTTCGTTCCTAGAATACATAGTTTACAGTTATAGTGTTCCACCATTTATACTTCGTTCCTAAAATATTATGATTTTTTTTATCGTGGATTTCTCTCCAATTGACACCGCTTGGGGCGGGAAATGGCGGACAGGGATTTTTGCCAAAAATTTAGTATGATACAGGGCTACACACAAAGGTTGAGACTTCGGAAACGACTGTAGAGAATTTGTTTAGTATTTATTCTAATATTTTTTGTTCCCTGTAAACTGTAAACATATTTCTTTCTTTGCCAAATCATTTATTATCTTCATAAAATGTATGAAAGCCAAGTTCAACCTTCAGATAAATAAGTTTAAAGAGTTAAAAGTCGTCTTTTATGTCACATCCCTTTTGGGTAACCCTGTATCCTACTTCAATGAACTATTTATAAACATGGGTATTCTTAATCATAAAAAAAATGTTACTCACATATTGATGTTTAGGGTGTGCTTTGAATTCTCTTGTAAATACTTCTAGTAAGCATTCTCCCACCCATCTTCCCTAAAAAGTTTTTTTTTTACTTTTACAAGGACTGTAAGCGTAATTACAAATGACCCTCCATGTAAATATGGCAATGTCCGATTCACAACCGTACCCTTGCAACCTTTATCTAATCAATGCATAATATCCTGCAGTACTGCAGTAGAAATGTGCGAGTTACTTTTGAAGAGAAACCGCAATTGAAATTAATCAGTTTAAACAATAACTAACATTGATATCTAATTCATACTTGATTAGACAACGCGTTTAAATTTTTATTACACGGTGAATTATGTCTGCAGCTCGGAAGATAACGAAACGCAATTTCATTGAAAGTAAAATGGACTCATTTGAGTTTTTTATTAATTGTTTTTTTTTTAAAGTTGATTTCATATTATCTTCTCATCACAATTAAGTTAAAGATTTTAATTAAAAATATAAAAGAAAAGATTGAAAAACTATAATTATCAAAACTTCCAGAAAATATTTTTAACTGCAACTTATTATTATGTTCCCCACCCCCACCTCCCAAAAAAAATTAGCCCAATCTTTATATATTTAAAAATATATTTTTTATAATTCAAAAACGCTGACAAATTTTGTAATTTTAGGCTTTTTATGTGCATTTAAACCAAAAAAATGTGAAAAGTTTTCAAATACCTTTGTAAATGTTGTGAATGTGAAATAGTACGGATATACTTTCCTTAAACCTGAAAAGTAATTTACATTAGGATACAACAAAAAAAATTATAGAATAATTCTCGTCTTTGTTGAGGGAGGGGTGGCATAATTCTCACGGGGTTTTGGAATAGCTCTCGGGATGCTGAAGTGGCTTCCATTGTAAGGGAACGTTTTGTGGTAGGAAACGCTTGGTAGCAGGAAATGTTTGGTGGCACGAAACGTTTTGTAGCAAGAAACGTTTTGTGGAAGTAAACGTTTAATAGCAGGAAGCGTTTTGTGACAGGAAACGTTTTGTGACAGGAAACGTTTTGTGTAGGAAATGTTCTCTGAGAAAACGTTCAGTAAGAAAACGTTCACTAAGAACACGTTCAGTAAAGAAACGTTTAGTAATGAAACGTCCAGCAAGAAAACGTTTAGTAAGAAAACGTTCAGTAAGGAAACGTTCAGTGAGGAAACTTTCAGTAAGGAAACGTTCAGTAAGGAAACATCCAGCAAGGAAACGTCCGGTAAGGAAACGTTCACCAAGAAAACGTTCATTAAGGAAACGTTGAGTAAGCAAACGTTTAGAAAGGAAACGTTCAGTAAAGAATCGTCCGGTAAGGAAACGTTCAGTAAGGAAACGTTCAGTAAGGAAATGTTCAGTAAGGAAATGTTCAGTAAGGAAACGTTCAGTTAGGAAACGTGCAGTAAGGAAATGTCCAGTAAGGAAACGTCCAGTAAGGAGACGTCCAGTAAGGAAACGTCCAGTAAGGAAACTTTCAGTAAGGAAACGTTCAGTAAGGAAACATTTTGTAGGTGCTCCATGAAAATCATAGTTTTCCTTGGATATCTTTAAAACTTGATAATTTTTGATACAGTGCTCCAGTGGTAGCTACACATAGAACAATATTTATTTTGTAAAATCACCATTTTTAATGGCTCCAATTTAGGCGAAACAATTATTTTTTTTATTTAATTAGAAATAGTATAATTTATAAAGATGTTGCAGAACACATCAAACGAAACCTTTATTTATCAATTTTTAAAATAATTAACAAAAAATGTTTAATGTTTAAGCTAAAACAAATGTTGTCAGTTTGGTAAATTTCACGATATTCGGGCACTCCAAAGGCATTTTATATTCCAAGGGCACTCCAAAGGCTTTATTCCAAGGGCACTCCAAAGGCATTATTCCAAGGGAACTCCAAAGGCATTATTCCAAGGGAACTCCAAAGGCATTATTCCAAGGGAACTCCAAAGGCATTATTCCAAGGGAACTTCAAAGGCATTATTCCAAGGGAACTCCAAAGGCATTATTCCAAGGGCAACAAATGGTTACTTCTCTGATACAAATTGTCCAAATGTTAATTATTTAGGACAAAAATTTATGTGATAGGTTAGACTAGGTGGGAATAGAATAGTCCGGGAACTGGTGTAATTTGTGAAATTGTAACTTTGGAAATTGTAACTTTGGAAATGTTAACTTTGGAAATGTTAACTTTGGAAATGTTAACTTTGGAAATTGTAACTTTGGAAATTGTAACTTTGGAAATTGTAACTTTGGAAATGTTAACTTTGGAAATTGTAACTTTGGAAATCGTAACTTTTAAAATTTTAATTTGGAATGTTGAGGCTTGGATTGTACGCTACTCAGACATTTGGACAACTTTTGAGCTTTGAGAATCATGGCAAGCCATGATTTTTGAGGCCTGTAGTGTAGTTTTTAATCATTTATCCAAGCTTTAAAGCTTAATTAAAGAAACTCAGAAATGAGGGATTATGATCTCTTTGGAAATATTCCTCTAAGTTTAGCTTTTTTAGAAATTCAGAGATGGGTTAAAGTACAAAAAAAAACTAAAACCAACTAAATTAATTTTAATTGAGTTGAAACTTAATGGTGAAAACCTTTGAAACTTAATGGTGAAAACCTTTGAAACTTAATGGTGAAAACCTTTGAAACTTTTACTATTTGATCAGGCAGTTTGAAATATGTAAGGTCTACAACATCAGGGTGGAAAGACATATTTGGGTTAGAAAATTAGAGTTTGATGGAAGTAATCATTTCCTCATTTCCCAATTCTATTTGTAGAAGAGTATTGTGTAACATATTGAAGTATAATTTACCATTCTGGAAGTAGTAAGTTGTTTCATTGAACCTTTCGTCCGTGAATCCAGGACGTTTTGCTTTCAGTATCCGGGTCTCAAACTTAACCTGGAGAAATCAAACCTTGTCGAAACCTTATGTAAGTCCTGTATCTTCTGATGTTTTTATTAATGTATCCCCTTTTTTATGTATTTCTGTATCTTGTTACGTTTATCCCCTATTCTTGGATACATCTGTTTGTGTATCTTGTATCCTTTCATGCCTGTATCACTGGGTTTACTTATTTATTCCTTTCTTTTCATGTATCTTTGTATCTCTGTAGTTCCTGTATCCCTGCATCTTGTATCCCAGCATCTTGTATCCCTGCATCTTGTATCCCAGCATCCTTGTAGCTCTGCATTTCCTGTATCTTTGTATCTCTGTAGTTCCTTTATCCTTGTAGCTCTGTATTTCCTTTATGCTTGTAGCTCTGTATTTCCCTATCTTTGTGTCCCTGTATTTCCTGTATCCTTGTAGCTCTGATTTTCCTGTATCTTTGTATCTCTGTAGTTCCTGTATCCTTGTAGCTCTGTATTTCCTAATCTTTGTGTCCCTGCATTTCATGTATCCTTGTATAGCTCTGTATTTCCTGTATCCTTGTAGCTCTGTATTTCCTTATCTTTGTGTTCCTGTATTTCCTGTATCCTTGTAGTTCTGTATTTCCTGTATCCTTGTAGCTCTGTATTCCTGTATCCTTGTAGCCCTGTATTTCATGTATCCTTGTAGCCCTGTATTTCCTGTATCCTTATAGCTCTGTATTTCCTGTATCCTTGTAGCCCTGTATTTCCTGTATCCTTGTAGCCCTTTATTCCTCTATCCCTATATTCATGTATCCTAATATACCTTCATCCCTGTATCCCTGTAGCCCTGTATCCTGTGTCCCTGTGTTCTATATCCCTGTATCCCTATATCCCAGTATCCCTGTATTCCTGTATCCCTGTATCCGTGTATCCCTGTATCCCTGTATCCCTGTATTCCTGTATCCCTGTATCCCTGTATCCCTGTATCCCTGTATACCTGTATTCCTGTATACCTGCATTCCTGTATCCCTGTATCCCTGTATCCCTGTTCTCTGTATCCTGTATCCTGTATCCCTGTATTCTGTATCTCTGTATCCTGTATCCCTGTATCCTGTATCCCTGTATCCTCTGTTCCTGTATCCTGTATCCCTGTATCCTTGTATCCCTGTATCCTCTATTCCTTTATCCCTGTATCCCTGTATCCTCTATTCTTATATCCCTGTATCCCTTTATCCCTTGTATCGCTGTATCCCTGTATCCCTGTATCCCTGTATCCTTGTATCCCTGTATCCCTGTATCTCTGTATCCATGTATCCCTGTATCCCTGTATCTTCTATTTCTGTATCCCGGTATCCCTGTATCCTCTAATTTTGTATCCCTGTATTCTATATTCCTGTATCCCTGAATCCTAATAATCCTGTAATCCTGTATCCTAATAAACATCTATCATGTATCCTAATAAACCTGTATCCCTGTAACCCTGTATCCCTGTATCCCTGTATAATGTATCCTAATAACCCTGTATACCTGTATCCCTGAATAATGTATCCTAATATACCTGTATCCCTGTATCCTGTATCCCTGTATAATGTATCCTAATAACCCGGTATCCCTGTATCCATACATGAAGTAAAGAAGAAATAAATTAGTGTCTTCTGAGATAAAAACAAGAAATTGGAAAAAATTAGATTTATTTTCTAATCTGTAGGCTATAGGGGGCCAAGTAGGGGCGGAGAAACACAGTATTTATAAAACATTAAAGGGAGTGACCGGCAATGTATGGTGATTGAACTGTATATGTAGTATTGTGGACAAATTTTTTTAGGATTCATTTGAGACATATAGATCGTTTATACGACGTATATTTACTGAGTTTCAGTGCAAAGTCGACGTTCAAAATCATGAAGTTGGGTGCGTTCGTTTTCAGAATCGTTTTTTAAAAATTATTAAATAACGACGACAAAAAATGTAAACAAAATTCTACAGTAAACTAATAAGTTGTTTAGGAACAGTTGTTGAGAAAACAAAAATTAACTCTTATCATCGAAAATAAGTAATCTTATGCAATTATTAGTTTCTGTAATCTCTCATTATTCACAAAGATTTTCTACAGATTTTCTGGAATTTTTATTGAAAAGACGACATTTGAAGAATTTGTAGAAATATGCAAACAAATTTATAGAAAATACGAAATTTAATATAATGATGAAAACGTTTTATATGTGTCAAATGAATACTAAAAAATTGTCCACAACACTGCATACTCAGTTTAACCACCATACAATGCAAGTCACTCCCTTTAAAGGAACTCTCAAGGAATTTAAAGTAGCCCTCCGATAAAAGAATTACATGCCAGATTCACAATCGTACCCTCCGATAAAAGAATTACATGCCAGATTCACAATCGTACTCTCCGATAAAAGAATTACATGCCAGATTCACAATCGTACCCTCAACATACACATGTAAGTGTATAGCAATGAGTTATCATCGGTTTTCCATCTTAAAAAGAGAATAATTTTTAAATTACTTCCTTGTTTCTGTTGCATATATCCGCAAGCTGCAGTTAAATGGACAAATTCCGGTGGAAAATATAATTTAAGAAAGCAAAATTGTCAATTATGCTCAAAAACATGCTTAAAGGGTACTGTTGTGAATTGACATGGAAGGGTCAATTAAAATCCAGTCGACAGTCCCTTTAAGCTTCTTACCGTTGATGGTTTCTTTAAGATTCTTACCTTTTTTGTATCGTTAGTTGCGTCTTCTTGTTCATATTTACGTTTATTCAGAGGGATAATACCACTTAAATATTGCTAAAAAATAATAAAAGTCAATTTTATATCATTAGCTGCGTTCTCTAGTTCATATTTACGTTTATTCAGAGGGACAATACCGCTTAAATATATCTAAAAGATAATAAAGGTCATTTTTGTACCATTAGTTGCGTGTTCTAGTTCATATTTACTCTTTATTTAGTGGGATAATACCGCTTAAATATTGCTAAAAAATAATAAAAGTCAATTTTGAAATTTTGAAAAAGATATTTTGAAATTGTATAAATTTTTGCCACAAATTCTGTTCGATCTTCTATTACCATATATCTTTGCAACTCGATGTCGTAGACTTTATATAGTTATTTCAAACTAGGAATCAAATAATCTAATTTTGAAATATTCAAAATTAGCACCATCAGGTTGCATAGATTTAAGAATTAAAATACTTGATCGGCAAAGAATGTATTTCTTTATTTTGTTTTGGTTTTGAAAAGGGAAATTTTTCTAAAATAACAAAAACATTTTTGAAGGGTCTGAACAAAAAAAAATGGTTCACCAAAAATACTTTTCTACCTATACCATAAAAAGATTGATAATGACAATTTTACATAATTTAAATTATTCTCATCTTATAAAGAAAATTATTAAAGAGAAGTGATTTAGATCCTTTAAAACCCGGTAGAAATACAGCGGGACCCATAAAACTTTGAAACTGATTAAGTGAATTGGGTTGTTTATTCTGTACAATTTGTTTATTTTATGCTGATTGGACTATTTAACAAAATAATTAGGGACTGTAAGCAACATGTCAAGTAAATCCCCAGGCAAAGCTGGCAATGTCCGATTTACAACGGTACCCTTGAAACCTTTATCTGTGATCAAAAATGTGGAAGATAACTTCGTTTTTTCTAGGTTTAAAAGGATTTAATTCAGATAATTCAAATATGTTTTTTTGACGTAGAAATGCGTAAGTATCTTTTGTAGATAAGTCTCAATCAGTTTTCAAAGTTAAAAACATTGATAATTTTAATCTAATTCTACTTCTGAATCGGGCATTGTCATCTTTGCACGGAGGGTCACTTGAAATTACGCTTACAGTTCCTTTAAAGGGACTGTTAAGGCATAATTAAAGGGTTTTGGTATAACTTTGACACATTTTTATGTCAATTTCTCGAGACAGGGACATTAGATAAAACTAAATATTGGTCGCGATCAACTCCTAAACTACGCTCACCATCCCTTTAACTTTTCCAACAAACCTCTTGAAGTATAGATCCTTGGTTCAGCAGCTGGACGAGGTTTAGAGGCTGATACTGCCGATACAGAGGCTGCTGGGGTAGATTGTAAACACCATCCGAGGTTGGGGGGGAACTGTAAACAGGGTTGGTTGTATACGTGTATCCAGGAGGGGGTAGAGACTGGGAGTATTGTTGAACCTGGTAGACAAGGTTCAGTTTGTTCTCCGGGTAGTTCTCTACACCAGTGAGGTAGGGTTGGAGAAGTGAGAGGGAATGTGATTCTAATCCTGGATCCAGGTTCTAGGTTCAAATAATTATAAAAGATAAGTTTTATTTTTAACGTTTTCAAGGCTTATTAAGTTCAAAAACTAAATTATATAAAAGAAAACGAATGCATCTGTTTTTATCTGTTTTTTATATTTCTGTAAAATTCCAAAACTGTAAATCACACTTTAAATAGCCCAAAAGGTTTGCAATCTTTACAAACTTTGTTATTTACACATTGTCAAAGATTGTATCAAACAAATGGACTATTCCCGATTAACAACGTTACCCTTTAAACCATTATCTGATCTAAAACGTTGAGGATATCGTCATTTTTCCAGTTTGAAAAGTGATTAATTCTGACAAATTTATTCTTTTTTTCCGTCGTATCTAAAGACGAGTTGTAGCATAAATCCACTGGTCAATCATATGGAGACACCACAAATGAAAATGATAAATTTTCTAAATAGAAAAATATTGATATCAGATCATTATAGATCAGGTTTTGTGAATACTGCTGTGATTAGAATATGCCAGTCTATGAATGGCGGGAGGATCTACTGTCCTTTTTAGACTTATTTCTTTTTTGTAGATTAGTAAAATTGAAAAACAAAAGAAAATAATCTTTATAAATATACTTGTCTAAAAGTGTCCTCTGCATTCTACCGTGAACTCTTTCTCAACAAACTCAGAGAAAATAAATCATATTTAGAAAAATATAGTCTGTAGGACAAAACCGGGGGGGGAATAAGAAAAGAAAATCTGGGGAGGGAAAGGGGGTGGGGGTACGGAATAAGAAAAAAATAAAATGCTCTCTAATGAGAGGAGATGAAATGTTCATTCCTACAATTATTGAGAAGAAATCATGCGTACACGCAACTTTCCTCACTCATTAGGAGTTCATAATATTATATACAATATTATACATATACAGGGTGTCATAATATTATATACAATAGTATACATATACATATACAGGAGTTCATAATAATATATACAATATTATACATATACACTATACAGGAGTTCATAATAATATATACAATATTATACATATACATATACAGGAGTTCATAATAATATATACAATATTATACATATACAGCTAGGGTGTCATAATATTATATACAATATTATACATATACACTAAACAGGAGTTCAGACAAATATATAAATACAGGGTGTTTTTAAATGTAAATCTTCAATGAATAAATATATGGTATTTTCAACTTTTTAGATGTTTAAATATATGTTTTCCAAGACAAAATGTTTTATGGGTCTAACCCAATCATCAGTTGGAATAAAATATATATATGAGAAGTAATCTTTGCTTGCTTGTTTGTTTGTATGTACGATCATAACTCATGAACCCTTAGCTGATTTGTCTCAAAATTTGTTTAAGGAACTCGGTAGAACCATGGGAATGTTCTTAGTATGATTAAAACTGTAGGTTGAGTGGGTTGGCATTTATAGCAGAAGCTTTGTTTCCAAACAATACTGGGTTTCCATGTAAGTTGTTAATAAAAATATCTCTTTACAATAAACATTCATGTCATATTGTAATATTTAATTCTCAAAATCATTTTTATTCTTTGAAATATAGGGTGTTTTTTAAAAATTTATTATTAATTTATAAAAATACACTTCAATCATATATTGTTTGCACTATAAAGATTATACATGATGTCTTCTAAGTAAGAGCTGTACTTGAAATATGTATTTATAAAACAGTGACTAGTGGATTCATGCAATAAAGAAAATGAGAAATTAACAGAATTTCAAAACTTTCAAGAGATATTCACCACGTTTGTTAATATGGTAAAGTGAAGTACTTAAGGGTACCGTTGTGTGAATCTGACAGAAAACGCGCAAAATTTCGACGTTAGTCGTCAGTCGAGCTTTTTATAAGCGTCTGAAACATGAGACATCATATGGTGTGTAAATATTTAATTTGGTTAATTTTTCAAAACATTTTTTGAAATAATTCAGTAATTTATCTATCAATCTATCAACATTGAAAAATATCATAATAGTCACCAATCCACATAGATCCAGCCTGCTATGATTGTTGCATCAATTTCTAAAACAGGGTCGACTTTGAAGTGTCGCAAAACCTTGCGCTTTGGTTTTTTTATAGCCTTAAACATTTTGAAATTATAAAAACTCTACAAAAACTAAAAAGCAGTTGCTTAAGCTAAAATTAAAAGAAGTAGTTGGCACAATTCTCATCGAGTTTTGCATGTGAGCTTGCAACCTTTAAATCACAGTGAATCATTGGTATAAAAGAGAATGATGTTTTTGTATTAATATTTTCTATAGATTTAAATACGTAACTCACGATGGGTTCACAGTTGATGGGTTCTCTATCAAACATGCTTTTCAGAGAAAACTATGAATGTTCATTAGCAAAAGGCAGAACTTGGGGGGGAGGGGGGGGGGTGATAGTTATTCAAAAAATGAATCACCCCCCCCCCTCATTCTTTACTTTTGAGTCTTTCTTTTTCTTTTATCAATTAGTAATTCCCGAATTACAATGGTACCCTTGAACGCTTTGTCTCATCAAATATGAATGAGATATCCATGTTTTAGTTTCTGTAAACTGTTTATTTTCATTTGCGCATTTCTTGTTTATGAGAAGCAATGGAGAAACCCACAGAAATAAACACTTTTCGAGTCAGAGAAACGACGTTGTCTACCACATTATTTGATCTGATTAAGGTTTCAATGGTACCGTTGTAAATCAGGTATTTCCATCTTTCCATGGAGGGTCACCTGAAATTAGGCTTACAATTCCTTATAACTGTGTTAAAAACTTTTCAATTGTCACATTTTAAGTCATTTGTTTTAGAGTTCGACTCGAGTTCGATGTTGAGACTGCATGCAAAGGTCAAGGTGTTTGAATAAAATAGCGGTAATCTTCAACGCCTAAAATTGATGTCAATTGTCAATTTTACTTAAAAGTGGAATTATTAAGAGTGTAATCCGTTAAGAAAAGTTGACTTGTACTTGTGCATGCTCTTGTGGGCCGAGAACAGTTGTTTAGCCTCTGATTGGTCGAAAAGGAATTAACTTAATCCGTGGGTCGAACAGAAATATCGGAAAGGAATTAACTTAATCGGTAAGGTCGAACAGAAATATCGGAAAGGAATTAACTTAATCGGTAAGGTCGAACAGAAATATCGAAAAGGATTTAACTTAATCGGTAAGGTCGAACAGAAATATCGAAAAGGAATTAACTTAATCCATAGGTCGAACAAAGATGTCGAAAAGGAATTAACTTAATCCGTAGGTCGAACAGAGATATCGAAAAGGAATTAACTTAATCCGTAGGTCGAACAGAGATATCGGAAAGGAATTAACTTAATCGGTAGGTCGAACAGAGATATCGAAAAGGAATTAACTTAATCTGTAGGTCGAACAGAAATATCGAAAAGGAATTAACTTAATCTGTAGGTCAAACAGATATATCGAAAAGGAATTAACTTAATCCGTGGGTCGAACAGAAAAATCGAAGAGGAATTAACTTAATCTGTAGGTCGAACAGAAATATCGAAGAGGAATTAACTTAATCTGTAGGTCGAACAGAAATATCGAAGAGGAATTAACTTAATCCGTAGGTCGAACAAAAATATCAAAATGGAATTAACTTAATCTGTAGGTCGAACAGATATATCGAAGAGAAATTAACTTAATCCGTGGGTCGAACAGATATATCAAAAAGGAATTAACTTAATCCGTGGAACGAACAAAATACGGATTTAAGCTCTATGATCAGTTTACCTATTAAAAACCTTTAGTTTTCATTAGGTGCTAATATCCACTAATTGAAGATTTAAAACTAAAAGACTTTATCGGATGTAAAGAATGGCATTTACTTCAAACTAAAGTAAATTTCACAAAAGATTAAAATTTTATAAGTTTTCAATCATAACTTTTTACTCACGAGATTTTTTATATTTTGAGGTTTTTTATATTTTTTATACGTAACCAGTGTCCGAATTTAATGAATTTAAGCCGCGTCTCAAATCACCCAAAAACCGGTTCCAATTGAGCGTCGGCTTAAATCTTGAAGAACTTAATACAATTTTAAGTGGAACCAACCATGTTTGAGCCGCAGTTTAAATTTAAGCCGCCGCTCAAATTCTTTAAATTCGGCCTCGGATAAATTTGCTTATCCATACTTCTGCGTCAAATCTAAACTAGAGAAGCCACGAGGTCAAAAAATCCTACCAAATGATTTGGCATAATTTGTTAACCTTCCCCTCTTGTTTTGGTTTGTTGTGTATTGCATTAAAATTCAACTTTTTTGATAGGCCAAAAAGATGTATTAAGATGATTAAATAATATTGAATATAATTATTGTTCCTGGTTCAAGATTGCTCCTTGTTGATGAGAAAGTAGGTGGCTCAATCCTTGCTGTTGATATAGAAGGTGTCCCACCCCCTGCTGCTGGGGGAGAAGGTACCCCGCCCCCTGCCCAAGGAGAAGGTTCCCTTGCAGGAGACGGTTAGAGGGTGGATGGTAAGGAAGGATGGACGTGTCACCCCCACCTCCTCCTCCTGATTCAAGGTTTTTAGTCATCACAATATAAACATTCTTTTAAAGTTTAAAGTTGACCAATGTCTCCCCAACCTATAGTACTGATGAGGACATCATAGAAGTGTCGAAATATATTTACTGGAAAAGTGATCTTAACGTCGTTTATTTCTAATCTGGTTTGGTTCAACCTTCCACCAACTATAAAGTTTTTAGCTCAATGTAATCAATAAACTAACCTTAATACTATTCAAGATCAAATAAAATAAATGTATTTTTTTACGTAGACCATACTTTTCAGTTAATCTTAAAAATGCGGAGTTTTATCTTCTGCAAGCCCTTCTGCCCCTTCAGTAAAAGTAAATCCAAGTCTGACTGCGTCAAACTTGTTGCAACGGCTAGTTCCGTCCATAGAGCTAGGTACAGTAAAAACTGGGACCGGAAAGGTTGACCTTGCTCGGAAATCCAAATGTACTACGGCTAACCGTGTCTGTATCTTTGCTTGTCTCTTTGTTTGTGTGTTTGTTTATCTTCTATATAATAAAACAAGACATTCGTGTATATTTATATGTTGTCTATAGCCGGCCAAATGGCTGGACCAATTGGGCTGAAATTTTGTTTTCAAATATTTTTTCCACGAGCAACGCCTGGCCCTTCAGCTATCCAATTAATGCCAAAACGCCAACGGTTAAAGTGATTGGGCCCAAATTTTGTTTATTGATGATCAAAATTTTAAAAAATTAGCTCTAACCAAAATTCTATCGTCATTAAATTTTTACAATGTATACAAAGCGATACTTTGCTTGTCTGTCGGTTTGTATCCAATAAAAGTCAAAACGTCTAAACAGATCGGGCCCCAAAAGAATTGAGTCTTTGCCACAAACTCAAATATTCTAATCCCTATATATTTGCAACCTGATGCACACCGAACTAACCAGAGTGAGCAGCATTCGGTTTCTTCTATTTGAAATCAAACGAGTTATGGTCTTTAATTCAATAATTATTTACTTTACGGATTTGTTCATGTTATACATTTTCATTCAAAATGATGCCAACAAAAAAGTATTTAATAGAAAAGGCTAACAAATTATGTTTAATGGGTCAAATTGTGATCAAAAGTCACAGCTTTCTGGAATATTAACAGAACCGTTAAATCCTCGTGGATGGAGTAAACCTTAAATATTTCAAACTTAAATTTTTAATCTAACAGAAGCCGTAGTTTAAGATGGGGACGAAGCGCCCTGACGGCCTGGTATTGTAGATTAGATCAGAATGTGCAATATCTCGAACAAAGAATTAAAAATAATTCACAGTATCTTCTGTCGTTAGTAAGTTGAATTTTCTTAATCGTTATAAATAATTCACAATATTTGATTTTCGCTTCACGAATCACGATCACAAATTTGACATTTGCTTAGATGTCAATATTAAAACTTTAAAATAGTTTTTTTATTCAAAAATGGTTTCTTTCACAAAATTTAATTTTCCAACTCCTATATGTTTGCAATCTGAGGAAACCTTTTAATGCACGACATTAGGTTGTAAAGAATAATTATTAGAAAGAAAAGAATTTAAGCGAGTAACCAATTCGTTTCCAAAATTTGGAAAACATATTTTTCATAAAGAGAAATTATTCATTTTTCAAGATTTGTAACTAAAAACTGACCCTGTAGGACGGGTTGAGCGGAGTTACTCCAGGTCTGCTCCATACTGAGCTCTAGACTAGAATGACGGACTACTAATTGTCCGGAGAGTCGGATGGAGGGAAAGGGGGGATCACAGTAATTATTCCCCCTAAGGATGAAAAGAGGAGACTTATCTGAAAGGACATGTATCTCCGTCCCGCCAATCTATCTTCTTTTAAATCTATTACGAAACCAATCCAGATTACAAACATCCGTCCTGTTGGATATCTCTCAGTCCTGGCTGATTATCCGTCCTGATGGAAATCTCTCAGTCCTGGCTGATTATCCGTCCTTTTGGATATCTCTCAGTCCTGGCTGATTATCCGTCCGGTTGGATATCTCTCTGTCCTGGCTGATTATCCGTCCTTTTGGATATCTCTCAGTCCTGGCTGATTATCCGTCCTGTTGGATATATCTCAGTCCTGGCTGATTATCCGTCCTGTTGGATATCTCTCAGTCCTGGCTGATTATCCGTCCTGTTGGATATCTCTCAGTGGTCCTGAGCTGAAAACTTTTGAATGGGATATCCTTACTCCCGATCGGATAATTAATCTGGAGATTAAAAATGAGAGGAGAACAAGCAATATTTAATCTCGAGATTAAGAAAAAGAGTGGATTAAGCATTAATCCCAATATCCACCATTCTAAAGTTTTCAGCTCAGGCTGATTATCCGTCCTGTTGGATATCTCTCAGTCCTGACTGATTATCCGTCCTGTTGGATATCTCTCAGTCCTGGCTGATTAAAAAGAAACTGTCTCTAGAAGAATACATCTTCTCTTATCTTAGTTTCTACTTAAGTACAAGAATTGTAATTAGACCGAATATATTTTGCTTTTAATGGAATGGAAAAAAGTTTCACGTTTTTTTAAATTTTATGCTACTTTGTCAGCTTAGACAGTTTGAGAATAAAAATAAAAATAATAAAATCTTTAACCCTCTCTCGTAAAGATCAATAGATAATAGGTTTACACCATCAGCTTCCAAAAGTATTTGAAAAGTAGAGTTTGCGACAAGGATCCATAATTAGAGATCTATTAACGTTATATATCGCATATTAATGTTATATATCGCATATTAATGTTATATATCGCATATTAATGTTATATATCGCATATTAATGTTATATATCGCATACCAAAACTCAAGATCTTTGAGATTTTTCTGTCTAGCTGTGTTGCGGGGTGTTGGATCTAAGGTTTGGAGGTAGGTGTGGTTTCGTGGAACCAAATTCATCATTTCTCAAGAAAACTGTATAAAGAGGCTTTTTTATACTACAACCTCTGATATCATAGTATTATTAGTCATCGTTCAGAGAGAATAACTACACATAATGTGAAATTATGAAATTACATTTTTTAAACAATTTCTCCAATAATTAATTTGATCAAGTGATTCCATCAAGTAGGTTTTGCTCAGACTAAAGTTTACAGAATACCATTGTGTTGGCATGGAACTTAGAGAGTAACTAAAGATTACCTGAACGCAAAATATTAATGACGATGCCCGATTCACAACGGTACCCTTGAAACTTTTGTTTTTTGGATTTCAATTGTTAAATTCAGGTAATTTTTATGTGTTTTTCTGCAGTAGAATTGCGCAAGTCACTTTTGTAGGGAAACCACAATTGAAAATAATAATTTTACGAAATTTTTAACATTAACATTTAATTCATACTCGACCAGACCAGGCTTTCAAGGGTACCGTTGTGAATCAGGCATGTCACTTTTTATTTAAGGGTCAATAACAGTCCCTTTAAGTTATATTGTTTCCTAAGATATAGATATATATATATATATAGATATAGACCTGTTGTTTGAATTCTAAGATTTGTAAGATGTGTAGACTGCAGAGACTGATGTAGAGTATAAGATAGTTTCTCCATGATCTGAAAATTTTTTTAAACAGGGTTTCCATTGTTATCTGATATTTTAGTCCTCATGCATAATCTATCAAAGAATTATTCTAAACGTAGGGGAATACTTTTAACTAAATTTCCCCAAAATTTTTGCTTTTTACTTTAAAAACTTAATTTAACAATTATAAAAGTTCTTTTTTTGTCGCGCAACTCAGAACTTTTATTAATACTCTTACAACCTTTACTTTAGAGTAAAAAAGATGTTACAAAAAATTATATTTCACAATGGATGAATCTAAAATGGATTGTAAGCTTAACTTTAATTGCCCGATTTACAACGGTACCCATTAAAGCTTTTGGTAAAACTAGCACTGAAGCAAGCAGTGTTGATGGTTACACTGGAGCAGAGGATATTTTAAATCATTTTGCCGATATTTACAGTGAACTTTATCAGAAATATGATTTAGGAGAGGAGTATGCTCAGGTTCAGGAATCCATTGCTCTCCAGGTAGATCCTAGTCTATTGGGGGACCTGGATAGAGTTACGAGAATACTGTGTTTGAAGCTCTGACTAAATTAAAGTTAGGAAAAACTTAATTTGGATTGTCTATTAAAAGTGTGTATTGGTAAAATTCCTGCATTCTTTGTACTAAAATACTTATCATTAAGGAATCTAGGAGATATTGCATCAAGCGAATAGATTCTAATACAATAGATGGCAACGTAGAATTTGTACACTCTCAGTACAGTTGTATTCTGACGTCACAAGTGTCAATTCAGTTTTTGTGTCCGACAAAATTATCAATAATAGTAATAATTTTAGAATAAAGTGCTTTCTTACAGTAAAATAAGTGTAATTTTTTATGTGTTCTTTAGTTTCTGTTTTTACACTTTTTTATTTAATCTTGGAAAACATGTCAACTAATGTGAGACAATTTCGTTTTCCTTGTTATATTTGACACTTGTGACGTGTATAATTGGTTCATTTCTCTGTTGCCACCTATTGTACTTGATAATCTATTTGGCATCAAGTGATAACTACAGAGCCATTGCTGTGGGTAGCCATTAAAGTGGTTTGATTGGCTTATCATTATTCTCGAAGGGGATAAACTTGCAATAGATGAGCTACATTTTGGGGTTCAAGCAAAATCTAGCACATCTAGATAAACACTGTATAATAGACTAGGCAGGCCTATATTTGCCTTTTCTATGGACCTAAGTAAAATATTTGACATGGTTTCTTGGGCTAAACTATTTCCGAAACTTTTAAAAAGAAAATATGACCGTTGATATTAAGATGCTTAAAACATATTTACTCAAATCAAATGTGTAATGTGAGGTGGGGGAACAATATCTCTTAACCTTTTTATGTGAAAACTGGTGTACGCCAGGCTGCAGTTTCCTCGCCTATATTGTTTCTTTGGGTATATAAATGATCTCATTGTTCAACTTAGACATATATCTGAAAGTTGGTTGTCAACTAAATTGCGTATGCGTATGCGGATGACATTATATTAGTATCTCGATCTGGACTACAGTTAATGAATAATGTTTGTGAAAAATTTGCTAGTCTTTATCAGTTAAAATTTAGCACAAATGTAGATGTTTCCAAATCAAAAACAAAATGTATAGTTTTCATTAACCCTGTCATGAATACTGATAATATTTGCCCGATTCTTTTAAATAATTTACCCTTACCCTGTATGTGAAATTTAACATCTTGGCAACACACTGCTGCAGTCTAATGGTTCTATGTCAAAAGATGTTAGATGTAAACCTGCTAAATTTGTTTCTAAAATACATTCTCTTAATTAAGAAATTCTATATGCCATTACATCCACAGTGTTAAAATTGTATGATTTCTATGGCTCAAATCTCTGTGATTTATACAGAGTATTGATGTAAAAAAAAAATCCTGAATTCAAATTGAACATTGCTATTCGCATTTTATTTGAAGAGAAACCCATAGATATTGCATTGAGCCCATTTCTAATGTTTTATGCACTCGTTTTGTACAATTTGTGAGTTGTGACCAGTTTATCAAATTGTCATAAGCTATGTTTTCGACTTTTAAGTTTTAGTAGATCTAAGTAAACATGATTTAAGAACTGTTTTATCAAAAAATATTGAATCTATTGCACAATCTAGAAATTTAAATTTTGTGTGAAACAAAATATGATAAACAAGAATGGAAATTACCCATTCTTCATGAATTACATAAAGTTAAAGAAAATAATTTTGTTCTAAACAATTTTGTTGATATTGAGATCGCAACTAGGGTTTCCAACGCAAGTGGATTTTACTTGCGCGCAATTGCGAGCCCTTGCGTGCAAGTGAATTTAATTGCGCGCAATTCCGTAATAGTTGCGCGCAAATAAACGCAACGGAATTGCGCGCTTTATAGCGTTTGTGTTTAAATTTTTTGATAAAATTTAATTTAAAACCTATGGCACGCAATAAATGCAATTAATTATTGCGCAATTCCTTACAACAACAAAAAATTTGATTTTAACTTTGTTAGTGGCATACAATAAACTGTTACTGAACTTCACTAACATTTCAGTCTCAAATGATAAGAAAATTGAATTTAAGCTTAATCTTTTATTTTATAATATTCATTTGCAGCATGAACCAGAAAACTCTGGTATAGGAAGACGACATTTTTGACTGAAGCGGACCCATGTTACTGGATAAGTGATTTAACAAGTTACTAATTAATTTTGTTTGACTTGTAACTACATCAAATACACTGATGTTGTCTTTCTGTACCATAGTTTTCTGGTTCTCACTGTAGCAAAATATCTAATTTTGATTAAACGAACCTTACAATTTTAACCAAAGAAAGTTTCCATTTTAATGTTTATCCAATGTGAACAAATGAAAAAAGTGTCATATTAAATTGTTAATTAGTAGCTTCACCACAAGAAACTTTAGAAATTGAAAACTGTTTAAAATGTTAAAAGTGACACTCGGGCCTCGATTATTTAAAAATCAACAGAGATATTTTAATTCCATTCTTGTATCTGCTGCATAAGTTTGTAAGTCGAACAATTAAAATTATTGATTTTTAGATAGAAAGCAATTCCGCGCAATTCAACGCAATTCAGCGAATATCTAATTGCTTCCTTTTTCGCAATTATAGCGCAATTGCGCGTAATGAAATAGCGCAAGCGGAAGCAACCATTGCGCGCGATTCCGCGCAACGGAATTCTGATTGGAAACCCTAATCGCAACCATGATCAACTAGAAACTATATTTATATATCTATACTTTATTCTAGTTTTTGTCTTTTACCTCTGTGTACCAAATAAATCTATAATAATAATGATAATAATAATTATATGTATGCACAGTAAAAATAATAAACTAACGAACAATTTAGATTTATGGATAACTGTTAAATTCAATTGTTGCTGGGTTGCCGATCATAGTAAACCTCGTAATGATCGGCCAACTGATCGGTAGGGATCTTCTCTAACTGCTGACGATCCTTCCTGATATATTTAGCCCCGTCTTCAGCCTTTTCATCTTGTACCTGGAGATACAGGAGATACAGGAGATACAGGAGATACAGGAGATACAGGAGATACAGGAGATACAGGATATACAGAAGAAACAGGAGATACAGGAGATAAAGGGGATACAGGGAATACAGGAAATAAAGGAGATACAGGAGATACAGGAGATACAGGAGATACAGGAGATACAGGAGATACAGGAGATACAGGAGATACAGGAGATACAGGATATACAGAAGAAACAGGAGATATAGGAGATACAGGAGATACAGGAGATACAGGAGATACAGAAGAAACAGGAAATACAGGAGATACAGGAGATACAGGAGATACAGGAGATACAGGAGATACAGGAGATACAGGAGATACAGGATATACAGAAGAAACAGGAGATACAGGAGATACAGAACATACAGGACATACAGGAGATACAGGAGATACAGGAGATACGGGAGATACAGGAGATACAGGAGATACAGGATATACAGAAGAAACAGGAGATACAGGAGATACAGGAATTACAGGAGATACAGGAAAAAAGGGATAACTACAGTAGTGGTCGTAAATATCATTATAATGAAGACGACTTTTGATTTTAATTTTTGTTTATAGCAAGCTTTTAAACAGTATAGATACACATTAACATAGAAAAAAAGAGAAGCTGTCAATTAATAGTTTCTTTTTGTTTCATTTAGACATCAAAACTTAAATAGAAAAATCGTCTTCATTGTAAAAAGATATAAACGCCGACAAATGTAGAAAACTGCAGTCTTATTTTTTTAAATTCAGAAATATTTATCATATTAAATGTTTTTTGTTACAAAATCCTTCAGAAAATTTTATTTTAGAAAGAAGACGACAATCATTGCATTGTTTTCTGGTCACCACTGTCTAGAGATTTCATTTTGAAAAATGGAATTTTTTTATCTTATCTACCTTTATTACTCCCTGACTGCCATACCCTGAATCCTTTTTTCCCTCTAACCTAGAAAATAACAGAATACATTTATAAGGTGACAGCGAAAGAATTTGTTTAATGTCAAATCAAACATTTTCTATTACCTCGCCTTCTCTTCTTCCGTCCAATCAGGCGAACATGTATCTTCAGCATGCTCAGCATTCTTAACAAGCTCAGCATCCTTAATAAGTTCAGCATGCTCGGAAGGAGCGGGATCAGCATGCTCGGAGAGAGCGGGATCAGCATGCTTGGATGGATTGTCATGTTCAGAACTCAGTTCTCTTTTCTCTCCCCATCGTAAATTCTAAAAAAACGCAAGAAGAAAAAAATCGTGATTTTTGCCTGTGCACAGTAAAATTGCAACTCAGAAGGGCGGGGCAGAGCTTCCATGAACTTTACGTCACTTTTTTAAAATTGAAAATTTTTTTCTCTAATTTTCTTATCCTTTAAATACTTAAAATAAACATTGAAATCTACTAGATCAATGTTTCAAGAATTTAAGGATCACAAAATTAGAGTTTTTGAAAAGTAATTGGTTCCTTTAAAAGTGAAAAAAAAAATTCAATAGAAAAAAATCTGATACCTTGGGGTTTTCCTCGTCTACTTCATGAATGATTTCCTCTTTACCCAAACTTTACAAAATTAATCTTATTAATCAAACCTTGGTCGAACAAAATTAAAGTAAAAACATTCAAGAACTGTCGACAGTGACCGATACAAAACGGATACCAGATCCCGAATTTAATGAATTTGAGCCGCGTCTCAAATCCACCCAAAACCGGTTTTAATTGAGCGCTGGCTTAAATCTTGAAACATTGAATACAATTTTAAGTGAAACCAACCATATTTGAGCCGCGGCTCTATTATTCCTTAAATTCGGCACCCTATTTTAATTGAGCAGAACTGAGGAAGATATTTTTGTTTTACTTTCTTAATATGTACTTAATTCTGTAAATTCTAATCTTTTTCTCTCAAGCTGAAATAATCATTTTTATTGTTAAACCACAAAGGGAAAATATCAAATTTTAGAAGAACAGAGTTCGAATTTTCTTAATTTGAGCCGCGTCTCAAAATCGGCCTCAGAGGTATGTAAATCAAAAATCTTTATTTATTTAGGTTTACAGGGTACTGTTGTGAATCAAAAAGCTTGATATTTCAAATGAAATGTGAAATAAAAACCGGTAAAATGTAAATTATAAAGAAAGATGTTTCACAATTTTTTTTAAGTTTGAATGAATTATGAGACAAAACACCGTTAACTCTGAATTAAAATTAAACATGTATCACATTCACACTTTATCTAATTAAAAATTAACCTTATAATCTGATCTAGTTCTTGAGGTTTGACTTTATTTCTCCAATTTAGTTTCAGAATTCCTGCTTTTCTCCTTCCATCCTTCTTCTTTAGCTCAGGGTCTAGAATAGAACTTTAAACCGATCCAAGACTTTCTGAAACTTTGTTTTTTGAAAAACCACAAGTCATAAAAAAGAATGTTCTGTGGTTCTGTTTGTTTTATCTATAAAACTATTGTGTACTTTATTATTCTTACTCACTTCATCGTGAACTTCATGATAAACGTGCTATAAAGTAATCATAGTGCTATAATGTTAAATTATCTGTAAATTATAGCACGTGTGCTATAAAGTTTTGATTGGTTCCCGGTTTTTCTCCAAAAAAAATTTAGGATATTTCCAAAATGTTCTTTTCAATTAAAATGAAAACAAAATTGAAATCAACTTTATATTTTGACTTCTGCTTTGTTTCAAAGCTTATTTGATCTAAAAACAGCCATTGAAATAAGAATAAGTTCACAAACGTTTCATAATTTTACCTATAACACTATTATTTTGGCACGACGTGCGAATCTGAATAACAGTGTTATAAATAGTTATCTTAAACAAAATCGTGATAAAAAGTTCGGTAAATTCTTTATAGCGACAAAATGTTGTGGTTTGTTTTAACATTACTGAATTTCAGGCAAAAAAATGAATCTATTATTATGAACAAAATCAAGACACTATAAGTGCATGCATGCAAAATTATCCAAAAATAAAGAAATAAAGCAAATGAAAGTTCCTTATCAATAAACCAAGAGAACTCTCCAGATAGATCAAATAGTTGAAGATTAAAATATCAGAGGTATACTACATGCATCAGGTTTTTACATGAAAGGATTAGAAAATGACAGTAATTAATTCCATCTTTAAAGATGGCGTCCTATTTTCGTCTCAAATGTCGTCTTACATTTACTTGAATTTCTCATTAATGTTTTAACCTTTTATCTCTTCCTTCATCTTTTCCTGGTTGACCTCAACCTGGGCCAAGGTTTGAAAGTTCGCAGCCTCATCCTGTGGCTCCGAGCCGCTGCTAGAACCCTTTTCCGAACCGCAATTTGAACCTTGCTCTAGGTCCAAAACTAAGCTGTTGGGTTGGGACTCTTCATAAACTCCGACTTCAGGTCGTTTAAAGTCTGTTAAGTCGGATATATGAGAATACAAGGCCTCATCCTCTAAAAGCAGAAGAAGAATAATAAGAATAATAATAATTATAAGAATAATAATAATGATTATTTTGATAACTAGCTTTGATAACCCCCCGACCACCCATGAGTGTCCACAAAAAAATTCAGCCCAATCGGTCCAGCCGTTTGGCCGGCTATACGCAACATATATCGATGACATATAGCAATAATATTTATAACAATAAAAAATAAAAAATACATAATTAATACCTGGCGTTATCTCTATCCTCCTGGAGAATCATTCATCAAAAAAATTAATTTGCTGTCATTAATGATATCTTTTTGCCTTATGAAAGAAAATCTGAATAAAACTAATTTAATAATTAAAAAAATTTAAAAAATTATGGATTGATGAATCTTTGAATGATTTTCCTGGCTCCATTCTTTCTCTTCTATTCTCATTTCATCAGTTAGTTGAATAAAATACGTCTCCATCAGTCCCTTTCCTTTCACTAATATCTTATCTCTATACCTGAACACCAAGGTATATAAACTAAAAGTAGGGGGATATCTTATCTCTATACCTGAACACCAAGGTATGTAAGCTAAAGGTAGGGGGATATCTTATTTCTATACCTGAACACCAAGGTATGTAAGCTAAAGGTAGGGGGATATCTTATCTCTATACCTGAACACCAAGGTATGTAAACTAAAGGTAGGGGGATATTTTATCTCTATACCTGAACACCAAGATATTTAAACTAAAGATATTAGGATATCTTATCTCTATACCTGAACATCAAGGTATGTAAGCTAAAGGTAGGGGGATATCTTATCTCTATACCTGAACACCAAGGTATATAAACTAAAGGTAGGGGGATTATCTCTATACCTGAACACCAAGGTATATAAACTAAAGGTAGGGGGATATCTTATCTCTATACCTGAACACCAAGATATTTAAACTAAAGATATTAGGATATCTTATCTCTATACCTGAACATCAAGGTATGTAAGCTAAAGGTAGGGGGATATCTTATCTCTATACCTGAACACCAAGGTATGTAAACTAAAGGTAGGGGGATATCTTATCTCTATACCTGAACACCAAGGTATGTAAGCTAAAGGTAAGGGGATATCTTATCTCTATACCTGAACACCAAGGTATGTAAACTAAAGGTAGGGGGATATCTTATCTCTATACCTGAACACCAAGGTATTTAAAGTAAAGGTATTAGGATATCTTATCTCTATACCTGAACATCAAGGTATATAAACTAAAGGTAGGGGGATATCTGATCTCTATACCTGAACACCAAGGTATGTAAACTAAAGGTAGGGGGATATCTGTAGCTGTAGAAGCTGGAATATAGATTGCTTACCTACACACAACTTTAGGTTCTAAGGTTTGAAGAGCTAGAGCTGTCGAAGCTGGAATATGAATTTGTCCCCTAGTTCCAGTCGAATCCATCCTAGAAAATATTTCCAGTGGGATTTATTTTAAAACCTTGAAAAACTTATTTTTCCGACAGGTCTTCTTATTACGTATAGTTTGGTACGTCTCTAGGTAGAAAAGAAAAGTTATTTTTTTCGTTCTGTCAACTTAAAATTTCAAAAGTTGTAAAAATTTAAACGTGTCAGAGTAAAAACTTTCTAATAGGTATAAGAAACAGTTTTTAGTTTATAGTAGAGTCTCCTAAATGGACTGATGTAATTTCAAGAGACTTTTCCTTTCTAGAGTGACATGCCCAATTCACAATGGTACCCTTAGAAGTTTTGTACTCATTTTCCCGCTAAAAAATAGTTATTTTTAGTTGTGGTTTATCTGTTCAGTGATTTGTTGATATCTGTTGCGGAAACAACGGAGGAATTGTTAGAATTAAACACTTTGTAAACTAAAAATTATTGATCAGATTAAGGTAGGGTACTGAGTAAATGGAAAGTTCCCAACTTTTAATTGAGTCTCTCTTGAACTTACATCAACAGTGTATTTGAGAGTTATGAAAATTCAATTATTAGAAAGCGGGTCTACCTGTATTCCCAACCTTATACACGGATTCCCAACCCTTCATATGGATTCCCAACCCTATACCTGGATTCCCATTCCTTTATATGGATTTCCAACCCTATACTTGGATTCCCAACCCTTTATATGGATTCCCAGCCGTATACACGGATTCCCAACCCTTCATATGGATTCCCAACCCTATATACGGATTTACAACGTTTATAAGGATTCCCAACCTTATTTACGGATTCCTAACCCTTTATATGGATTCCAAACTCTATACCTGGATTCCCGACCCTTTAGATGGATTACCAACCCTATGCCTGTATTCCCAACCCTTTTTATGGATTCGCAACCCTATTCATGGATTTCCAACCCTTTACATGGATTCCCGACCCTTTACATGGATTCCCAACCCAATTCATGGATTCCCAACCCTTTACATGGATTCCCAACGCTATACATGGATTCCCAACTCTATTCATGGCTTCCCAACCCTGTACATGGATTCCCAACCCTATTCATGGATTCCCAACCCTATTCATGGATTCCCAATCTTATTCATGGATTCCCAACCCTATTCATGGATTCCTAACCCTATTCATCCATTCCCAACCCTATACATGGATTCCCAACCCTATACATGAATTCCAAACCCTATACTTTGGATTCACAACCCTATACCTGGATTCCCAACCCTATACTTGGATTCCCAACCTTATACATGAATTCACAACCCTATACCTGGATCCCCAACCCTATACCTGGATCCCCAACCCTATACATGAATTCACAACCCTACACCTGGATCCCCAACCCTATACATGAATTCCTAACCCTATACGTGGATTCCTAATCCTATACGTGGATTCCTAATCCTATACCCGGATTACCTGGATTCCCAACCCTATTCATGGATTTTTACCTGGATGCTACATTAACTGTGTCTCCCCATATATCGTAGAGAGGTTTCTGTGCTCCAACTACTCCTGCTATCACAGGCCCTGCAGTCATACCTACCCTGGAATATAGCAATTTTCTTACAGTCGGGGTCGAATGTATCGATGCAATGAAGACGACTTTCGATATAAAATTTTTATCTATACCAAGCTTTCAGCATGGATACAGATACACATGAAAACAAAAAGAACCTATTAATTAATCTAGGGCTCTCTAACGAGCATATATGTAATTGATATAGCTTTAAATCGTCTCCTTAAAAACCCGGCCCTTTCCAACTCGACAGGTTCAGATGCATAACCTTATCTGATTGATACAGTATTAAGTTGAAGAAACGTTAAGCCGAAAAATATTTCGGACGATAAATACTTGGATCCGTTTCTCCTATAAGCTACCTGAGTTGAAAATCTGGCGTGTTTTCTAATTCAAACTTGGAATAATCAAACTCCGCCATCTTGCGCATCATTGCCGCGGCAAATTTTGCCAAAGTCCGAACATTTGCGCCGGGATTTGTTGCAACCTGACTTCGGGAGTCCATTGAATCTTTCCTAAAAATTATAAAGTTTTAAATTTCTTTAACTAAAGCTGGGAACTTCTGTGATGGATTCTTGATCTCGATATCCACTATGGGCACTTTTAATTAGCGAATCTATGAAAAACTATATATCCTTTCCATATCTTTATTTGAGTTATTCCACAGTTTTAAACCCTGGGTACGATTGCTATACGGGATATTAAATGAAGATAGAATTAATCTGCAGATTAAGAAAAGATGGACATCGAGCATTGATTTCTATATAAAAAAAAGATTTGAAAGGGTGGAAAAGAAAAAGCACCTTCCAGGATTAAGTCCACATGCTGCCATCAGAGTACTTCCAATGATCTTTATTTTCTCCACCCTGTTGAATTGTGGTTCTAACAGCAGCTACAAGAAAAAAATAAAAAATAAAAACTTTTAGATATTTTTTTTTAACTTCGATACAGTGTGACCCATAAAACTGTGGAATAGGAAGACGACTGTTAAACAACTATTCCAATCAAAATTAAGTACAGCGATTGTGCAGTTTGCATAAACCCATTACACTTAAATATTAAATTTCACGCTACTGATAAAATTATTTGCTCTATTACTATATAAAATTCACATGCAATTGCTTAAATTTCGTCTTCTCATTCCCCAGTTTTAAAAACCCTACTGTACAAAACTAATAATGATACAAAATTATAATTAAAATTATCTACCTTATCAAAACTTGAAATTATATCGTTTAAGACACTGAGTGGCTTCTCTCCTCCCTGTATACAACGATCTCAAGAAAGTTTCCAGGGTTACTATACAAGGCATGTAACTAATGAATCTGAGAGACTGTTAGACGTAAATTAAAGGATATATATACTTTTATTTGTGGCTTCTTGCGCATGCATGCTTCTGAAAAAATACAATGAATTTTTTTCACAATTAAACACATTAAAAGCTAAAAAAAAAGATTGTGTTTTCCAAATCATTGAGCAAATAATGTTTTTTAGGTTATCGTTGTGATTCAGAAATGTTCTCTATAAATGAATTTGAGATGTTTTCCTGATGTATTTCAGCTTCAGAGAAGAAACTAATATAGTTTGGTAAACTGGCAAACATTACTGCTACACTATCATAGGATTCAGAGAATAGTTTCCCAATCTCTCTCACTAAATACATAATTAATATAGTTTGGTATAATAGCAATATTGAAGTCGTAACTTAACTCCCCTGTTTATTGGGACTTGATTGGTACACCCTGTTCCTTCTGTTTCTGTAATCTGGTTTTAAAACTAGCTTAAAAAGGACATGCTAGTGTATGTCTCCACATTACCTATTAAGATAAATGTCTGCAACATGCTGAGGTAAGATATTCTTGAGAAGAATCTTGTTTACCATCTTTGTAGTTTCAGCCTAGATAAATAAATAGATAGTTAGATAGATAGATAGATAGATAGATAGATAGATGGATAGATAGATAGATAGATGGATAGATAGATAGATAGATAGATAGATAGATTAGATTAGATTTAAATATAACAAATTGGCATCATTAATCCAAACTGAACCAAGGTTGTATAATAAGGTTGGTTACTCTCAATTTGCTCCAAACTGCGGAAAATGTCGTCTTTTTAGCATAGAGAGATAAAACCTCATATGACGTCACTTTCGCCTCTATTATTTCTGACGGCATATTAGGTTTTTATCTATTTATCTTAGGAGACGACATTTTCCGTCCAATTACTGACAAAGTGAGTTAGAAAGGTGAATCCAAAGAGAGGCTTTGTTACACTGCAAAGTCGACCAGATCTTACAAATTTTCATAAAAATATATGGTGTCTATAGATCTCTTTGCATTTTAAAAAGCGATTTTGAAATGTTGTAATGAGTTCATAGTGGGTCACATTTTCACAAAGGAACTTAATTATTCAACAATGATTGTATAATCCTTATATTCTTATAACCTGATTTTATAACTCTTAAAATATCAAACTATGAATTTTACAGATTATTAAGGCAAAGTTTGAAAGACCAGGCTGCAAAGATCTAATTAAATGTTTTCACCTCCTGCTGATCTTTCTTAAGCTGTCTTTTCCACATATAATCGAGTCTGTGAATATATTCCTTTTGTCTGAAATTATATATTTTAAAATCCGTTTCAACGCTAATATCGTAGCTAGTATAGGTCTATGTCCTTTTTCTTTATCAAAAAAGGACACTTATTTTTTTCATTAATTGTTTTTTATTGTACAACAATAAAAAACAATTAACGAAAGCATGGTGTTCCAAAGAATGCTCTGGATATCATTAAAGATTGTAGAAAATACTACATAGCTTTTCAGAGAACTTTGCTTAAAGATAATCCAATATTATATGCAAATATAGATATGATAGACATATTTTATTGTCGTCTTCATTTCCAGTCAGCCATTTTTTTTACCTGTCACTAACGATAAAAAGGATGGCGATTCCCAGCAGATAAAGGAAATGTGACCAGTTACTGTTATCTTCCATCGGGTCCTCACTATCTGTCAACCAATGATCAAAACCAAATGTTTCCATCTTGAAAAAAAAACTTAATAATTGATTTTTAATCGGAATCGTCTTCATTTTGAACAATATCATCCTCAAACTTCTTGACTTTTAAGACCATGAAAAGTGAAAACTGAATGATGTAAGACTATCATTGGAATCAGAACCCCCATAAAACATCTGTGCAGGGCTAACGTTTTTTTTTCAGTTTTGCATTGTTAAAGTTTCATAAAAAGTTACTTACCGAGAAAAATACTTTAACTGCTGGGTTCCCAAGGGATCCTGATATTACAAGAGCAAAGAATATTAAACAGAACATTGTCATCAGAACCTGAAGTATTATTATCAGAACCTGAAGTATTGTTATCATTATTATTATTATTACTATTGTCATTATTATTGTTATTATTATTATTATTATTATTATTGTTATTCTTATTTTTATTTTTATTGTTATTATTATTATTATTATTACTATTGTTATTGTTATTGTTATTGTTATTGTTATTGTTATTTTTATTGTTATTGTTATTGTTATTGTTATTGTTATTATCATTATTATTATATATTATCATTAGTATTATCATTAGTATTATCATTAGTATTATCATTAGTATTATGATTAGTATTATGATTAGTATTATGATTAGTATTATTATTAGTATTATCATTAGTATTCTCATTATTATTATCATTATTATTATCATTACTATTATCATTATCATTAAAATCAATAACATGTTTTATATTTTCCAACCTTCATAATATTGTTGATCCTAAGAAACATGAAAATGGTCATAATACTAAGCGCACATCTGTATGTGTAGTTCTAAAAAACAAACAATCAGAAAAACATTTTTATATAAAATTAAATAATGACCCACTTTTTACAAAAAATCAACCAGTTGTTACAAACAGTTTACTAATGTTACAAATAATAAACTAATTGTTACAAATGATAAACTAATTGTTAAAAATAGTAAACTGATGGTTACAAATAGTAAACTAGTTGTTACAAAAAGTAAACTAGCTGTTACAAATAATAAACTAGTTGTTACAAATAGTAAACTAGTTGTTACAAATAGTAAACTAGTTGTTACAAATAGTAAACTAGTTGTTACAAATAGTAAACTAGTTGTTATAAATAATCAACTAATTGTTACAAAAAAATAAACTATTTTTTACAAACAGTTTACTAATGTTACAAATAACACACAAATTGCTACAAATAAGGAATTATGTATTATAAATAGTGAAAATAAACTAGATGTTCTTTACAACTTTTTAAGACGGGATTTAATAAGTGTAATCTACCCGTGGACTCTCCGCCTTGCATGGTGTGATGACGATATCCATAATGGCGCTGAAGACGATCATGATGGAGACGAACACGAAGATTATGTTTCTGTGCAAGGACTTCGTGTTCAGTTTACCACTTGCCTGTTCAAAAAAAAGGTGTTAGAGAAATATAATTTTAATAAAGACGACAATAATTCCCCTTTTTCGGGTTACACAGTACATTATCCAAAAAATCAGAAAATTTTGTCGCAATATTAAATGAATATAGTTTACTTAATTGTAATTAAATCTCCCGTTTTTTGTTTACGTTGTATTAAATTCTACAGGACAACAAAAATAAAAATCATGGAAGACGACATTTTCTCTAGTGTTTACCTGGTAGAAGAATTTGATGATTGCATTGTCAGGTTGAGCAATGTAATCCAGATCAAACTGTGGATCTATAATCTGATAAATACCTTCATTATCCTCTTCATCAAATTTACTTTTTGTCCAATTTTTTTTCTCAAATTTTCCCTGGAAAAAAATAATTTATAAATGAACTTTTTTGACCAATCAAGTAATTAGATAAAATTCTTAATTTTTTCTGAAAAAATGAAGAGGTGAGAAGTTTTCAGGTCTCTCTATTTGAGATTAAAACGGGGGGGGGGGCGTACCCCTCAACTTTCCAGGGGGGGCGTGCCCTTCAACATTTCAGGGGGGGGACGTTCCCCAAATTTTCCAGAGGGTGTTTCATTGCCCCAAATTTAATGTTCAATAAAGATATTCCTGATCCCAGATATATGATATCCAGGTACAAGGGATTAAGAACACTAGAACCACAAAGAGCAGAACATATAGGACCCAGAGAACTACATGAGGTCTAAATAATAATGTCATGCTTAGTGAGAGATACTGTATTACAAAGGTATTGATGTCGTCTTCCTTATCAAGGATGAAATCCACCAACAACATATGAATCCTCAAATTGAAAGACTAAATTATCATCAAATATTATTTACCATTCACGGTTTTATCATTATTTTTTAATGGTAAATGAAATGATTTCTCAACAAAAAAAAGCATTTTATCAGATACCTTGAACCATTTATGCACAACACCCTGATGCAGAAGCCCTGAGGAGTTTCGCACAGTCGGCGTAGAACAGCCTCTCTCTATACTGTAATTTTACGCCGACTGCGTTAAACTCATGGTTATTGTGAGTGAGTTTTTTAAAGGTTATTTAAAGATGATCACATTTTAAAAATAAAACAAAAAGCATTCAAAAATATTTTGGAACCAAATCTTTACCTTGTGTTGTATGATGTAACGATTAGAATAATTCCCATAAAGTTCAGAATTATAAAGCTGGCCAAAATGTAGTGTTTGAACAGAGGGTCATGTTCCTAGAATGTAGTGTTTAAACAGTGGGTCATATTCCTAGAATGTAGTGTTTGAGCAGGGGTTTATATTCCTAGAATGTAGTGTTTAAACTAAGAGTCATGTTCCTAAAATGTAGTGTTTAAACAGTGGGTCATGGTCCTAAAATGTAGTGTTGAAACAGTGGGTCATGTTCCTATAATTTAGTGTTTAAACAGAGGGTCATGTTCCTAAAATGTAATATATATGTTTCTAAAGCATCAATGTTTGATACGAGATAAAGTTTAATACATACATAGTTCTAAGTTCCTTTAAGTACTCTAGGTTCCACTCCATATCTAGGATTACCTTTAAGTACTCCAGGTTCCACTCAACATCTAGGATTATCCTTAAGTGCTCCAGGTTCCACTCCATATCTTTAGGATTACCTCTAAGTACTCCAAGATCCACTCCATATATAGGATTATATTTAAATACTCCAGGTTCCACTCCATATCTAGTATTACCTTTAAATACTTCAGGTTCCATTCCATATATAGGATTACCTTTAAGTACTCCAGGTTCCACTCCATATCCCTGAAGAGTAAAGAGACAGGATTTATATCTTTAGATACTCGTCTCTTCCATTGATCTGACATGCTTGTAGGTTCAACCTAGATTAGAGAAAATACTAGTAGGTTCAACCTAGATTAGAGAAAATACTAGTAGGTTATATATATATATAGTTATATACTTTGCTTGTCTTGATGTCTGTTTGTTTGTTTGTGTCTAATAAACGTCAAAACAGCTGAACCGATCGGGCTCAATTTTTTGTGGGACCTCACTAACCCTAAGGAGGGTTTACGGATGACCGAATTTTCAAAAATCTGCTTCAATTAAAATTCGATTTCTTTCACAAAATCCGCAAAATTTTTGTTTTGTTTTTGTTTTACAATGCATAGAAAGAGAAAATGTTCATAATTGTAAAACAAGATGGTCGCGAAGCACCCTAAAAGCCTAATTCTTTAGAATACTCGTTCAGCAAAAAAGTGTGTCAAAAGTAATTAAAAGTGGTAAAAAAATGATAAAATGTCTAAATTAAAAATTGTTAATAGTATAAATTTGGTCACAAATAAATTTTATGATCAGAGAAAAAAAAGATGGCAAAAAATATACATGGAAAACTAAACCTTCCGTAAATTAAAAACATTTTCTTAAATACCTTCGATTTTCGGAATCTACTCATAAGACTCCATCTGCTAAAAACAAGAACAATATATTTTTCAAAATAAAATGTTTTTAGAAATAACACTTACTCCACTATTCTTATGGGAAGCTCTTCAATCTCAGAATCCATGAACTTTTCTGTTCCCTGCAACAAAACAAGAACTTTTAGAATGTTTAATTTTAAACCCGGAATGCGCCAATTCCTTCCATGAAAATCCGCCAAATAGAATATTAAACCGGGTTTTTTATTTAACTCAACTCTGTGGAAAATAAGATGCAGCTTTAACCCAAAAGCTCAAGCTTAAAAGGGCCCAACGACAGCTTAGACCCGAGTTTTTTAAATCGCGGGCTCAGGGCGGGATGGGTTCGGTTTCTTCATTTTGTATTTAATCAATTTGAATTAAGAATATTCCTTCATTAAAAACGCACCAGCCGACAAAAAAAATAAAAAAGAGAAAAAAACAATTTGTTAAATTCAGGGTGTCTCAATAAACATGGGAATTCAGTGACAAATTGGATATGGTCTTTTTAAATAATTCTTTGATTTAGTATACTGAGAAAGCTGTGATCTGTAGGAGTTTCGTCTGCTACACATTTTGTTTGTTTATGTTTTGACTGCATACGGTTGTACAATTAGTAAAACAAGAAAATTGCAGTATACAAACAGAGGCCGTTCCTTCCGATCGTCACTGTTCATCTTGCGGAGGCATTATAGACACATCTTTGCAGTCTTTTACCCTTTTCATAAAATAAACTCTAGCATAATATTGTGGCTTTTGAAATTAGGTATTACAATGCTAATTCATAACAAAGACGATATCCAATTCTTCATTGAATTCCCATGTTTTTTTGGGACACCCTGTAGGTCAAATTGTGATTTAACTGTGCAAATAACGGTTCTCTCAATATTCCAGAAAGCTGTGACTTTCTATTATAATTTGTTCTTTAAAATTTATCTTTTTAGTCTTCATTATTTTAGCTTTTTTACCGACATAAACATTTTTAATTTAGTATAATAGTTTAAAATGTCTTTTTCCATAATTAGTTAAGTTGTTTGACATTAAAAGGAGAACGATGAAGTATATTGTATGCCAATTATATTATTGTAAAATTGATTTCAAAGTAAAATATATTTGAGAAAAAGATGACATACAAAAAGTCTTTAATATCCAATATAATATATGGAAGAAGACATTTAAAACTATTCATCACTGTCATGTTTCGTGGGACACCCTGTAACATACAAATCCGTAAGTTAAAAAATAGTTTAATTATTGACCAAAACGTGTATAATTTAGAATAGAAGAAACCGAATGCCTCTAACTCTGGTTAGTCCGGGGTGAATCAGAAGTCGACATAGATTAAAAAGCAACAACTTTTGCTAGTGGCTTGACAATCAGCTTATACGTTTATGCACATTATTTGCTGCGTTTCATTTTAATTTGAATACGTAAAGGGAGGGAGTATAAGCCTAAATTCAAGTGAGACACTAATTTTCATTAGCGGGTTCTTTAAGAAAGTGAGTTGCGCATTTCTTGCTTTTAAAAAGCAATCTAGATACTTACAGAAATCTTTTCGAGTCAGAAAATCGATAGGACCTATCTTTCACATTGTTGATCAGATTACCGTTATAAATACGGCGTTGCCATCTTTGTATGGAGGGTTACTAGAAATTGTGCATACAGTCATTCAGGGATATTTAAGGATCCTTTGGATAAGAATCTAAAAATCTTCAAAAAAAAATGTTATGTTTAAAATTGGAGTATTACTTTAAAAATTGTAAAACTTAACCCTGAATGGGTATAATGTTCAACAAGTGGCCGTAGACGCAAAAACCTAGCGTATCGTGCCGGGTCAACTTAAGCCTACGTAGCCCACCCTGTCGGGTCAATTTAGGCCTACGTAGCCCACCCTGTGAAAGGAGATAAGCAGTCTGTGAAGTCTGTGGTCGGCCTGCACTAACCTGCATCATACTCTTGAAGCTATGTAAGCTTGAATCCATTAGAACGCTTTTCCTTCTCTTCCTCTCTGTCTCTTCGGACCAGATAGAACCAGAGCGGGATACAATAGAGGAGGTACGGGTACTAAATACATTCGGGAATATCTTACAATGTCGTCTTCTCTTTTTTACTCTAGGTTTATAGTCAAATACTTCCCTGTCTATATTTAGACCCTTTAGAATTTTGGCAAGAAACTCAATAAATAGAAAGTTTTAAGTTTTAGACTATGAATGATGCTACAGGGTGTACCCAAAGAGAATAGAATATATATTAGAGGAGAATTCACTAGAAAAAAGTGTAAAACGGCCATTTTGTTGGACTGTTTCCATACTGCAGGTGTACTTCACATATTTATGCTATATAACCTTTTGGGCCCTGGAATATCATTTTATAGAAAATCTAAAATGAATATTAAAAGAAAACCAAATAATTGACCAATGATCATTTCACATAGACTCTATGCCTTTCACTTTACAAACGATGATTTTCCGTTATAACTATAAATCAAATGATGTTTTTTATTCACCTAATTCATTATAAAGTTTATTTAACAGCTTTAAAAAATTCGAAATTGAAATGAATAGTCTAGGGAACATACTGTATTAATGTACTCTACTGCATATAATTTGTGAACATTTACATGATTTGTACACTTTGAACTCCCTGTCAGGCTGAAAGGGACTGATCAAATTCATACCGAGAGATTCTTTAAATTCCCCTCTAATATATATTCTATTCTCTATGGGTGTACCATAAAGGATTAAACTTTAAAGACGACGGAAAATGTTTTGTCTCTTTTCTGGGATTTATAATTTTGTAAACCATCAAAATACAAAGTTCAAAGCAGAAATCAAAAAACATTCTTCAAATCGTCATTTCAAAAGATCTTGGTCGTCTTCACAGTCTCTGCATCCTTTGTGAGTTATAGATCAAAAAGTCTAGGAATAAAAAGGGTTAACACCATCAGACTGAAAAGTTACAAAGTTCAATAAAAGAAAAAAGAGTTTAAGGCAAGTATTTACTTTACCTCCCATTTAGTGACTAAAAGCTTAAAAATGTGTGTTTAGAATTTCTGTAAAAATAGTAGTTTCACATTATAATATTTTTGTGTTTAAACTGTTTGATACCAGCTCAGTGAAAAATTTGATTTCTTTTTCACATAACTTTAAATTTTACTTTTCACATTAATTTGAAGTAATAATAACAAAAGTTTACGTCATCAGGTTGCCATGATTTATCAATGATTTCCAATCTGAATACTATTTTAAATAACAATTTGATACTTTTAAAATGTCATTTTTACCATTTTACTTCCTTCAAACATTTGTAAATAATACCTTCTGCCAACAAAGGTTCTTTTGTTTGTTCTCTCCGGTACTGATACTGTTCCAGGAGCTAAATATAATACTTTAGATACTGTTCCAGGAGCTAAATATAATACTTTAGATACTGTTCCAGGAGCTAAATATAATACTTTAGTGACCTTCCACGCAAAGCAGCACTTGTTGAGTAATAAAAAGGAAATTATCTTCCTTTTTATCAAGGTTTCAAGAGTACAGTAGTAAGTCGGACATTGATGGATGGTCACTTTAAATTAGTTTTATAAAATATTTTAACAGAAGGTTTAGGTATTTATTTTCCAAAGAAATATTTATTTTTAAATTTTGAATGGGATTGGAAAATTTTATTTCAATACATTTCATAATTGCTATGGTTAGCAAATTGTATGTATCAAAATTAATGATCGCTTTAAGAGTTCCTTAGCTCTTACCAAAAGATATACTGACTCTTCGTCCTGTTCTAGGTTTGGTTTCAGTTTCAGGTTCAGGTTCATCTTCATCCTGTTTACAGTTTACATAATTTTAAAATTCTTGTAACATTTTTTTACCCACAAAGGATGAGACTTCAAAAACGATTGTGTGGAAATAATTCAGTCTATTTTAAAATTTAGATTTTGTTCGTTCACTTTCAAATTATCAAGTTTATATAATACATCTTTAAAGAATATGTTGAAGGCAGAAGGCCAAATTAAATAATAAAATTTTAGGTCGTCAATAAAGTCTCTTTCTATGTGGGTAATCCAGTATTTTCTACGAACCTGTGACTTTGATTTACCAAGCTTAACAGACGCTTTATCAAATTTATCCTCTCTCTCCCTCTCTTCTTCCTCCTTCTCTTCCCTCTCCACTCTCTCATCGGAGGATTCATTCTCAGAAATGTGTCTCTACGTATGAAGTCCATTAAGTTGGTAAGTTTTTGCATATATATCAATAGTTTTCAATTTCAATTTAATTATTCTCAGCCGAAAACTTTAGAATGAGATATCCTTAATCCCGATTACTTAATCTGAGTATCCAATGAACACACTTTGACTTAACCCGTTTTTTCTTGGATATAGTAGAAACCGTTTTTTTTAAATTAGAGAGTACCTCCTCTTTCTGAATTTTAAATTGCGCGCAAAATTTTAAAATCGGCTTCATATACGCGACTCTGATTGGCTGAATTTTATACACTTTTTAGAATAAAAGTACAAGATTTATTGGTTAGGTTAGTCTCTATAATTATGAAAAAGAGAGGATCAAGCACTTATCTAGATAAACACCATTCTAAAGTTTTTAGCTCTGAACATTTGATTTTCTTACACTATAGGCCACATTTTTACCCTGAAAGGAAATGTAGACAAGAACTAATTAAAAACGACCAAAATAAGGAACCTATTATGACGTTAGTTGCTTCATCGTTTTCCCATTTTTTAGAATAAAATTGAAAAAGTTTAAAGAAAATAAAATAAAATGAAAAAAAACTATACTTCATGACAGTTTTGAAATTTTTGAAAGTTTTATCAAAAGTTCTTTTTAGGAAACTATTGTGTACTTTTTCAGTCTTACTCACTTCATCGTGAATTTCATAATAAACGTGCTATAGAGTAATCATCGTGCTATAAAGTTAAATTAGCTGTACATTATAGCATTGTGCTATAAAGTTTTGATTGGTTCACGGGTTTTCTTCAAAAAATTTAGGATATTTCCAAAATAATATTTTTCAATTGAAATGAAAATAAACTTTAAATCAACTTAATATTTTGATTTCTGCTTTGTTTCAAAGCTTATTTGATTTACAAACAGCCATTGAAATAAGACAAGTACACAAACGTTTCATCAAATTATCTATAACATTATTATTTTGGCACGACGTGCTATACAGTTTTTGGACTTAAATATTCTCTATATCTCAAAGTTTAGATTATATTTTTTCCCTCGCTAAAGGTCGGGACAAAATTAAATCTAAAAAGGCTTGAACCTTCTCGATACAGAGAAAATATGTCCAAAAACTCTATAACACTGCGAACCAAAATAACAGTGTGATAATTAGTTAAAAAAAAAGATTTCCAACATAATTGGTCGTATACTTGATAACTTTGTGAAATTGGGAGTGTAGTAAAAACCAAAAAACCTATCTCCTATTTTTTATACCGGACCTTTTGTTTATTCGATTTTTATTATTACCTTATGTGGATGAATGAGGTAGGTTGAATACCCGCTTTCAAGAATCACCTGATCCTCCATCTTACTGTAAACCAACCCAAACCAGTTTCACCCACCTTTTTTTCATTAAACAGCCAAACCAAACCAGTTTCAGTAATCTTTTTTAGTAAACCACCAAACCAAACCAGTTTCAGTCATCTTGTTTTATTAAACAACAAAACTAAACTAGTTTCAGCCATCTTGTTTTATCAAACCACCAAACCAAACTACTTTCAGTCATCTTGTTTTATTAAACAACCAAACCAAAATAGATTTAGCCATCTTGTTTTATCAAACTACCAAACCAAACCAGTTTCAGCCATCTTGTTTTATTAAACAACCAAACCAAACTAGATTCAGCCATCTTGTTTTATTAAACAACCAAACCAAACTAGATTCAGCCATCTTGTTTTATTAAACAACCAAACCAAACTAGATTCAGCCATCTTTTTTTATGAAATAATACTTCGATTTTAAACAATATACAAGAAAACCTTCTCGCTTTGGATCCATTAAAAAAAGAATATTTAAAAAAGAAAATGCATATTTTGGTTTGAATTGCCTAACAGGAAAACACTTATAATCGTCGCCCAGATACTTTTTGGTCTCAGAAGTCAAATGAACTTTTCTAAAAAAAATATATATTTTTTTTAATTTAGTTTTTTCATCTTATTTTACTTACCCTGGTTCACCTGAAGATTCCATATGGTTTGCAATAGTGACATCTTTGGACCAAATATCATACTGCCACTTTCTATCAACAAAAAATAGTTTTATTATTATTTAAAAAGCATTTTAGCAGACTGTATGTAAGCGTAATTATGCATAAGAGTCCCTCCTTTCAAAGATGACAATGCCCTATACACAACGGTGTCTTTACACACTTCACAAAAACTATTTATAAACCTTCACATCTTATTATTTAAAGAAGATTAAAGTTACACTCTTAGAGTATACCCTGATGCAAAAAATCTAAGGGTGCCGCGTTTATCAAAGACGAGCTTAGAGTTCTCCCGAAAGGATGTTTTCCGAATGTGAACATAAGACCGATGAGTCCTGAAAGGATGTATCCCGAACGTATACCTGAGACCGATGAGTCCTGAAAGGATGTATCCTGAATGTATCCCTGAGACCGATGAGTCCTGAAAGGATGTATCCCGAATGTATACCTGAGACCGATGCGTCCTGAAAGGATGTATCCCGAATGTATACCTGAGACCAATGAGTCCTGAAAGGATGTATCCCGAATGTATACCTGAGACCGATGAGTCCTGAAAGGATATATCCCGAATGAACTCCAATTCTCATATTAACCGGAACTGAGTGCTCATTTCTAACCTAAACCTTAAATTCTGATAATTTGTTTATTATTTATATAAATAAAATACATTTTATCTATTGATCCAGGCTCTTTAAAAAATAGCATTTTTAATTGATTTTTTTCGTGAGAGCCTACAACCTTCGGATGTATTTTGTCAAACCTCGCTTGAATTTCTTCGTATATAATGAAAAATGTTATATTATTGTCACCTCTTTTATTAGATTTATCATATCCAGGCCCATCTCTATCGCATGATGCGCGTGTCTAAAAAATATACACAGTTGGGAACTTTTGTTTAGGGATACTCATAATCCTGATCGCATGATCACCATATCCACTGTGGGCACTTTAGTTTGAGGTTCCATAAAAACTATACATTTCCATATTTTCATTTTTGTTGTTTCTACCCTGATCAAAGCTACCTTCAACCATAGATAAAGATAGATTGCGCATAAGACGACATTTTTCATCTTGAAAGATATAAATGTACAGAGATGTTTTAAAGATATTCTTATTTTATAGATTAACTAGGTCGGTTGTGAACATTGGCTGTTCTTATGTCATTGAGTACTTGTGGTGTACATGAGTTCTGTATAGAGAAATTTAAGTTAGTTTAGTCCTTCTCATGTCCTTCTTCAGTTCTCGTCAATATGATATATTGCTTAGTGATATTCTCAAAATAAAATTCACTCCTGAGTGGTTTAATAGTTATGAAATCCATTAAAACACCAAACCACCCCGCTTATCATTGAAGTACACTTTGACCCCTAGAAGTATGAGTTCGCAGTCTGTACAATTCTTGATGATTTTGGGTACATAAGCTATCTATGTTTATTTATTTATCTATGCCTTCAACCCCTGACTGGATACGATTACCATGCCAATATCAAATAAGATTAAACATTAAACTACAAATACCTGACTTATTGTAAACTTTCAAAATCTATAGTACTATTCATCATATATATTGTAAACGTTGTTGTATTAATTGGGTGGAGATAATACCCAAAACAGTGCAAGCTAATCTCTACCTTCATTAAGGTCATTCTTCACCTTGGGTCTGGGGTAGGAACACCACTGTAACACAATAGTAACAATCCTCACCTTGGGTCTGGGGTAGGAACACTACTAGAACACAATAGTAACATTCTTCACCTTGGGTCTGGGGTTGGAACACCACTAACACAATAGTAACAATCCTTACCTTGGGTCTGGGGTAGGAACACTACTAGAACACAATAGTAACATTCTTCACCTTGGGTCTGGGGTTGGAACACCAAACACAATAGTAACAATCCTTACCTTGGGTCTGGGGTAGGAACACTACTAACACAATAGTAACAATCCTTACCTTGGGTCTGGGGTAGGAACACCACTATAACACAATAGTAACAATCCTTACCTTGGGTCTGGGGTAGGAACACCACTATAACACAATAGTAACAATCCTTACCTTGGGTCTGGGGTTGGAACACTACTATAACTCAATAGTAACAATCCCTACCTTGGGTCTGGAGTAGGAACACAACTATAACACAATAGTAACAATCCTTACCTTGGGTCTGGGGTAGGAACACTACTAACACAATAGTAAAAATCCTTACCTTGGGTCTGGGGTTGGGACACCACTAACACAATAGTAACAATCCTTACCTTGGGTCTGGGGTGGGGACACCACTAACACAATAGTAACAATCCTTACCTTGGGTCTGGGGTAGGAACACTACTAACACAATAGTAAAAATCCTTACCTTGGGTCTGGGGGGGACACCACTAACACAATAGTAACAATCCTTACCTTGGGTCTGGGGTGGGGACACCACTAACACAATAGTAACAATCCTTACCTTGGGTCTGGGGTGGGGACACCACTAACACAATAGTAACAATCACCCAGAATTTTTATTCTCATACAATGCCGCTCCTGTAATCAAAGGCATAAAAAACAAGAAATTTTTCATGGATTCTATATTAGTCGATGAAGAAGACATTTCTATTTAAGTTTTGACAGTTTCTCTTTGTTTACTTGTAAACTATTAATTTGAAAAAAAGTTTGTTAGAAATCAAGTTTGTTATAGAAAAGTCGTCTTCATTGTAGTGATATAACCCCAACCACTGTTTTCAGATCGGTCCTATCCATGAACACAGATCGGTCCTATCCATGAACACAGATCGGTCCTATTCATGAACACAGATCGGTCCTATTCATGAACACAGATCGGTCCTATTCATGAACAATCCATTCAAAATTAGAACTTTGTTTACTTTAGCTGCATCGTCGAATTTTCCAAAGAGATCGTTCAAGGTTTCCACCAACTCCTGGGGCTTCAAGGTCACGGTCAGGGGGGTGAAGTTGCAGATATCCGCAAACACGATAGTTACATCGTTAAACTTCTCGATGTATAAATCCCTGAACAATGAACATGATCGTTACATCGTAAACTTCTCGATATATAAATCCCTGAACAATGAACATGATCGTTACATCATTAAAACTTCTCGATATATAAATCCCTGAACTATGAACATGATCGTTAAATCGTAAAACTTCTCGATATATAAATCCCTGAACTATGAACGTGATCGTTCATCGTTAAACTTCTCGATATATAAATCCCTGAACAATGAACACGATCGTTACATCGTCAAACTTCTCGATATATAAATTCCTGAAAAATTAAAACTATCGTTGCATCCTTAAACTTCTCAAATTCTATATTCAAAATCATTAACAATGAAGAAACTCTTTTTTCTTGCAATTTTCAAAATAGGTTTTTTCTTTTCTTTGAATATTTTATCTTCGGTTAATAGAATATTTTTATTTATTGATTGTTATTTTAAATTTTATAATCTATCCTTACTTGAAGCCTATCTTCTGTGTTCCTTCCATAATAGCTTTTAGATATTTTCTTATTCCATCTCGTAACTAAACAATGTTCGATTAATATATTAATAAAAGGGACTGTACAAGTGATTTTAAGTGAATCTCAATTTATTGGGTGGCATGTACTATTCACAGTTGTGCCCTTAAAAACTTTGTGTGATCAAATATGAATTAGATAACGTCATCCAATGTACACGTGGGATTTCCGCATTTCTAGCTTCAGAGACAATAAAGAACTTATCATAATAAAATCAGCCTTACAAGTGATAATTCCTTAGTTAAAAAAAGATCCCATAAAAAAAACAATCCCTTCAGTCTCAGAAAATATCTTGAACAGTCGACTTGCTAAAGAAATATTATGAACAATACCTTTGACCTTAAGAAATATCATGAACAATACCTTCAAACTAAAGAAATATCATGAACAATACCTTCAAACTAAAGAAATATCATGAACAATACCTTCAAACTAAAGAAATATCATGAACAATCCCTTCAAACTAAAGAAATATCATAAATAATTCCTTCAAACTTAAGAAATATCATAAATAATTCCTTCAAACTTAAGAAATATCATGAACAATTCCTTTAAACTAAAGAAATATCATGAACAATACCTTCAAACTAAAGAAACATCATGAACAATACCTTCAAACTAAAGAAATATCATGAACAATTACTTCAAACTAAAGAAATATCATGAACAATCCCTTCAAACTAAAGAAATATCATAAGCAATCCCTTCAAACTAAAGAAATATCATGAACAATTTCTTCAAACTAAAGAAATATCATGAACAATCCCTTCAAACTAAAGAAATATCATGAACAATTCTTTTAATTTAAAGAAATATAGAAAAATCCAACCTGTGAAGAAATATGGTCGGGAATGATACTCTGCAGAAGTTTCTCCTTAATCATTCATTTATTTAGGATATTTTCAAACGTTGGAAGAATATTTTAAATGTCGTCCTCGAAAACCCAAGTTTCGAATTACAAGTCATTATCAAAAAGTCTTAATCCTCCTAATCAGGGACATATTTAGGTATGGGGGGGGGGGGAGAGGTCACAGGGATAACATCCTGACCACCTTGATAAGTGGTAAACATAATTTCCAAGGGATAATTTAAGAAATAATCATAATGATGTTGCCCCTGAGGATCATATATAAATTTTATAAAAAATATTTAGAATTTACTTTATTTGCTTTTCTTATCTTTTCCGCTAAAAGTTAAGGCAAAGTTCAAACTGTGCATTAAATTGACACAACTAGTGTCGGTTTGCTTGAAGAAAACTTGACGAAAAATATTGTACACCATGAACCTAAAGTTTGTATTCAGCGTTTAAGGAATGGGGGAGGGGAAGTGGGCAGTGCCCACCATCCCGCCCCCCCCTAAACAGAAATAATTTTCCATTTTGCATTTGGTACATCCTTCAGGGTGTCTCACGAAACATGACAGTTGGTGAATAGTTTTGAATGTCTTCTTCCACATACTGTATTAGATATTTAAGACTTTTTGCAGTTTATTTTTAAACAAATGTTCAACTCATATATATTTTACAGTGACATTAATTCTACTAAAATATAACTGTCAAATAATAAATGTTCTTAGTCTCTTTAGTATCAAACAACTTATCAAATTATGGAAGAAAACATTTTAAACAATTAACCAACTGGCATGTTTCTTGGGACACCCTGTATTTTCCGGGATTTTCAAGGAAATTAAATTTAAAGATATTTAAAAAAATGTTGGCTGACATTTTCATAATCTTTTTTTCTAAAACCTTAAATATTTGCAAAGAAATTAATTTTATTTATTTGAAAAATTGAAATATCTTGAATTCCTCTTTTTCTTTCTCATGCTTCAGTCTGAATAGAATGTCAATATTTCAGATACAAATTTAATAAATTTTTAACTTATTCAGAGATCTGAACTTTTGAGTGGGTTAATCTTTTATGCTTGATCTCGATATCCGATGTGGCACTTTTAAATGTGAGGATTAATGTATGATCCTTATTCAATGTTGGCAATCTGTAAGAGTGAGATCAATATTTGAATCACAAGATTCACAATAAAAAGTTCGAAACTAATTGCACCCTCGCCTAAAAATTTATAATTTCAGAAAAAAAATAAAAATTGCATTCTCCCTGAATGTAGTCTCAATGCAGCCTCTTTTATCAAGGAACCCTCGTCTGTTATTAATATCACCAACATAACGGGAATACCTGCAATAGGAACAGCTTGTCACGCCAAACTAAAGTAAATTTCACGACAAATTTTAAAACTGTTAAAGTTTGCAATATTTTTATCAAAAAAAATTGGAAAAAATATAGTGTAAAAAAAGCAAATAGTTCAGATAAACAATTTGGCTTTTTAATACACTACGCCAAATTTTGAAAATGTACAACGACCCGAAAACTAAAGTTTATTTGGTATTTGGCTTTAAAAACAGTCTTCTCTGGGTCGAACTAAATTTCTTACAGTCGTCTCTGAAGTCTCATGCTTTGTGATTGTGGGTTACAACTTACCGACCATATGGTTCTACAATGACAAAGTGAAAATCAAAAATCTAAAATTTTAATTGTTTGTGTTTAAAAATTATTTAGACATTTAATTTTTATTGTTTAGACCTTTGACAGGTTCACATATTTATAATTAATGCTTTAAGTTAAAACGAGTAATCATTCATATCCAAAATTTTTGACAGAACCAATAATTTAACATTTTTTTCCGAAATAACAAAACCATATTTATAATTAACCATATTTATAATTAACCATATTTATAATTAACCATATTTATAATTAACCATATTTATAATTAACCATATTTATAATTAACTTCTCAAAACATGTTAAGTTGAACAAACAAAGTTAAATTTGTTAAATAAAACCTTGAGAAAATTTTTTTCTTCTATATACAAATTTAGCTTGTTTGTCTGTCTGTTTGTTTGTATCCAATAAACGTCAAAACGGCCAGAGGCGCAACTAGGACAAAAAGGAAATTTTAAGTTGGTGCATGCAGATTTGGCTGTGTTCAATTCAAATCGATTTTTGTTCTTGTGTTTTTACAAAATTTATACTTCCAACAGCTGTAAAATGAATGATATGAGTCAATTCATTAAATATGTGTGCGAATCGCAAAAGAGTATTTTTTAAGTACCTGGTTTAATTACAGATTAAATTGCAAGAAATAATCATTTATAGTTTCTGGAAAAAAAAAAGAAAGATAAAAATATTCTTTTTAAAACTAACTATAGTATAATAAAATTTCTACAATAACTCTATTGGTTTTCTTATTCCTGTGATACTGATTTTCGCTATTCTTTCTTTCTTTTCATTCTGCAGGGGGGGGCACGCCCCCCCTTCTCAGGTGCTAGGGGAGGGCGCGCGCCCGGCCGCCCCCCCTAGTTGCGCCTCTGAAAACAGCTTAACCGATTGGGCTCAAATTTTGTGTGGGACCTCACGTGACCCCAGGGAAGGTTTATGAATGATCAAAATTTTAAACATTTGTGTTTAAAACTTTATTATTTTAGTAAAATTTTGAAATTGTGCGAAAAAATATTATGAAATCCGCAAACTTTTTTTAGTTTTTGTTTTATTCTGTACAAAGAGAAGATGCTCACAGATAAAGCCACAGTTAAAAGTTGAAATAGAAGATAGGCGCGAAGCGCCCTAAAAGCTTAGTAATTAAAATTTTTAGTAAAACGAAAAAAAACAAAAAGAATTGTAGGGAAAATTTTGCAAAATATGCATTTCAACATATTTTTCTTTTGTTATCTTTTCATTTAAGTTCAATTATTATTTTAAAGTTAAATTGTTCAAATTAAGATCCTACCAGCCAATAAAATTGAGGCAAATGTGAAAAAGAATATCAGCAATTAACTGAGTAGTGTCCCCATCTGTTTCCGTGTTCATTTGAGCATCTACCAATCTCTAGAACACAGAATACTATTAGAAAAAAGACGACATTGAAAAAACGATGACAAAAGGATTAAGCAAATCATTTTCAAGGTACCACTCCCCGCTAAATCCTACTATGTCTTTGGTCGGTGTACTGCACATTACTGCAGAACGCACCGTTTAGGGTAGTACACAAGAATACTGAAGGTTTGACATTAAGTTAGGTTACAGATCTAGCCAAGAGATTTTAAAATGCAACAAAATACACCTTGTCTTAAATAAAATATTTTTAGATACGTCCCATGAAACATGACAGTTGGTGAATAGTTTAAAAAGTCTTCTTCCATAATTTGATAAATCGTTTTTTATATTACAGTTATATTTTAGTAAAATTGATTACACAGCAAAAAATATGAGTTAAACCTTTTTTTAAAGAAATAAACTGCAAAAAGTCTTTAATACAGTATGTGGAAGAAGAAATTCAAAACCATTCACCAAAGCTGTCATGTTTCGTGGGACACCCTGTCGGTAGGGTTTCCGATTTTTCCAGGTTTATTTATCATTCTTAAAAACCACAAGAAAATGTTTACATCTACGTTTTTAAATCAGAATTGGATCGAATTGTAAAATTTCGATTCCAGGACAGAGTGATCTTTTTGAATGTTTTTTTTTAACCAAAGCGTATTGTTTATTAACTAATTTCTTTTGATGAAATGTTTTTATAATAAATATGAAATAATTTTAAATAAAATATGTAATAAAGTAGGTTTAACAATTTTTTTAGAATTAATTTCATCCTCCACCCCCCCTCTCCCGAATTACATAATTTACAAAATGGCCTTATTAATATCCAAAGAGCTGTCATTCAAAAATCAACTAGACAAATAAATGATAATAGCTTAAAAAACAAATATTAGTTTTATCTTACATTGCATACAGCAGTGGCAGTTAAAGTGATAATACTGATAGCAACTCCAAAACAGACAGAGAAATCTTTCCTAAAAACTCATTCAAATCATTAAAATTACAGTATACAATTTCAATTCTAAAAAAAACAAGAACCCCAATTTTGAAAAGATCACTAATGAAATATTTATCCATTTTAAAAAATTTAATTACAAATTTTTAATTTAAGTTGAATCTTAATATTTTGAAAAAATTGTTTAGTTCTAAAACGCAAAATATTAAAAACAAATGTTTACATTCAAAAATGTTTAAAAAATCGACAAAAATCTCTCATGAGAAAAACTTTTTAATTTGAACTGATGTTTAGTAATTGAATTATTAGTTTGTAGGAAAAATTGCTTTTCTTCATGTGATATAATTTATGTCAAAAAAAGTAGCATGGATGTACATTGTACATTGATGCAACCCTAAAGAAAACAAAAATTTAACTATGATTAAAATTTTTAACTCTAGAAAAATCTCAAAATTTACTTAAGTTTTGAAAATTGTTAATCAGAAAGATACACAATATTAAGTTATCTAAACAATTTTGACATTCAAAGCTCTTTTTAATTTTAAATGATGTTTAATAATTGAATTTTTAATGTCACAGAGAAATTGTTTTTAAGCATATTGCGTAAGGAAAATAGCTAAGCATATCATAAATGTCCAGAAAAATAAAAAAAATAAAAACTTTAAATTTTTCCAATAAAAATGTTGATTTGATGATATTATTCCTGGATATTGGGTAGAATAGATAAACAAACAATATATTGAAGAGAGACAGTACAGGAACCTAAAATAAAATTAATCCTGTTTCAAGGGACTGTATGCGTATTTTCAAGTAACCCCCCATGCAAGGATAGCAATGCCTGATTCTCAACCAGGGGAGATGATAGTTTCCTACCTGTGTGCTCAGTTAGCTGTACTGTACACTTACAAATGTTTATTAATAATGATATACTATGGGTTAGACCAGAATCTCCTTATAATAAACAAATATGCAGTACGCTTTCGGTATAGTTCATGGCAAGAAATATAGACCAGGAACCTCCATATCTCATGCGTCAAATCTGTGTACTGTATTCTTGGTTCAAGGCCTGTACAATAAGTAAAGGATTAGCGTACATCATCGCTCTATATACTATAACCTCGTTGTTAACAATCAATTAACTTTAAACGCTCAGTCTGATCAAGTATGAATTAAATGTCAATATTTAGATATTACAATTGAAGACAATCAATTTTTAAAGAGAAATCGAGGAAATCTCACTCATTCTCGATTATTCGACACTGTTGTGTATCAGACATGCTAGTGGTAGGCATTTTCAAAATTGCGTTTACATTTCTTTTTAATCAAAAGAAAGAAAATTTAAAAAACTGATAAACTGAGAAAAAAGGGGTAAAAAGCTGAAAAAAGGCTGGAAACAGTGTTTTGATTGTGGACTTTTTTCTTTTTTAATCTTGAAATATCGCATGTCAAGGTTACAATGCAAGGAAAGTTATCTCAGAGGTGTACGCATTTTTTGTACTGCAGTGAACTGTCTCTGGGCGGTAATGTAAGCACAAGACGGATGTCACAGCCTGACATGGGATCCATTCTTCACATAAAAAATCAATGAAATATTCTGGTCATATGAAACTATTATGTCTATTATGTGAATTATCAAAATTTTCAAAATGCAATGCTTTTATCCTCCTCGGTTACTAAACGAACACTGCAATTAACTTTCCTTGCATTTTTACCCTGTACTATAGTTTTAGTGGAAGTAAATATCTGTCGAATGTAAGGTTTTTGCAATTATAAAAATCAGTCCTGACCATTTTTAGATAAATAGCAATAAACAGTAGCAAAATAAAAACAATTAATATTAGCGACATATCCTAACTAAAGATTGAAAGAAGATGAAAATCATTCCATTGTTTTCTGATACTGTATCAAATACATTGTTCAGGAAAATCTACCTTGTGTGGTATATGTTCAGGAAAATCTATCTTGTGTGGTATATGTTCAGGAAAATCTCATAAATAATTCCTTCAAACTTAAGAAATATCATAAATAATTCCTTNCCTTGTGTGGTATATGTTCAGGAAAATCTACCTTGTGTGGTATATGTTCAGGAAAATCTACCTTGTGTGGTATATGTTCAGGAAAATCTACCTTGTGTGGTATATGTTCAGGAAAATCTACCTTGTGTGGTATATGTTCAGGAAAATCTACCTTGTGTGGTATATGTTCAGGAAAATCTACTGTGTGTGGTATATGTTCAGGAAAATCTACCTTGTGTGGTAGATGTTCAGGAAAATCTACTTTGTGTGGTATATGTTCAGGAAAATCTACCTTGTGTGGTTTATGTTCAGGAAAATCTACTTTGTGCGGTAGATGTTCAGGAAAATCTACCTTGTGTGGTTTATGTTCAGGAAAATCTATCTTGTGTGGTATATGTTCAGGAAAATCTACCTTGTGTGGTTTATGTTCAGGAAAATCTACCTTGTGTGGTATATGTTCAGGAAAATCTACCTTGTGTGGTATATGTTCAGGAAAATTTCTTGTGTGGTAAATGTTCAGGAAAATCTACCTTGTGCGGTAGATGTTCAGGAAAATCTACCTTGTGTGGTATTTGTTCAGGAAAATCTACCTTGTGCGGTAGATGTTCAGGAAAATCTACCTTTTGTGGTATTTGTTCAGGAAAATCTACCTTGTGTGGTATATATTCAGAAAAATATACCTTGTGTGTGTTCAGGAAAATATACCTTGTGCGGTATATGTTCAGGAAAATCTGCCTTGTGTGGTATATGTTTAGGAAAATCTACCTTGTGTGGTATATGTTCAGGAAAATCTACCTTGTGTGGTATATTATTCAGGAAAATATACCTTATGTGGTATATGTTCAGGAAAATCTACCTTGTGTGGTATATGTTCAGGAAAATCTACCTTGTGTGGTATATGTTCAGGAAAATCTACCTTGTGTGGTATATGTTCAGGAAAATCTATTCTTGTATAGTTTTCTTCAGGTTCGGCGAAATTCAAAGAAGTCAAGAAACTCCTAAAATATTATAATTCTAAAACCATAGTTTCAAATAACCTTCCATAACAAAGTTTTATATGCATCGTCACATCGGTGGTTTTTTATAAAATAATATAAAGCCTTCAATATTGCTCAGGAAAAGGATCAAAGGGTAGCTCTGTAAATTTGTCATAAAACTCTTAAAATAAAAGGTCGCTTGAAATTACGTTGATAGAGACTTTAAGTTAAGTTTTATATCTTACTTTTTTTACATTTCTATTCCTTGCAGAAGTCGAAACTGTAGAAATTAGCAATCCGTATCCTTGATGTCCGACGTATGCCGAATGTATGTCCGAAAAATGCGCAATTTTCGGCGGAACAAAAAACGATTTTTCCATTCCGCTGGAACCCTAAGTCCGACGGATTAAGCTATTGTAAACAACTACAAATCAGAGGCAAAAACAAATCTGTAAGAGGTCGCAAAAAATATTTTACGGATAAAGCATTTAAAGGGACTGTTCAGGTAAAATGAAAGGGGGTACAGACTGAAGCCTGCACAATTTAGGAGTTGATTACGACCTATATTAGTTCTATCTGATGTCCCTTCTTGATAAATTGATATAAAACTGTGTCAAGTTAGACCAAAACTCATATATAAAAGTTTATGTTGTGGATATCAAGGCGAATTGCAAAAGCTCCAACAACAAAATTATTGGTCTGAATTTAAAATTGGTGTAGAAAAAAAATGAAACCTTGGTTGTTTTTGGAAAGTATTTGTTGAGTTATCTTTTGTGTTAGTCTGGGTTAAAAACACTAGAGCAGTTACATCAACGATCTAAATAAAACAACATCGAATCAATATTTTATATTTTTGGGACATTTTCTTTGTGCATTGTTTTGAACTATTATCAAAATGCTTTGCTTCACAAAGGATCAAACAAAAAACTATTTTCTTTGATTTTATAAATAAGTAAAATTTACTAAAATCTATTTATGACCGTGCTGGAATTAAAGGAAAGCGAGGTATTAAGTATTTGAGCCAAACAGTTTTATTCTTTTACATAGAAAAGTCAAGAATCTTCGGGAAAAACAATTGTTTTCGGCGGAAATACTTAATAAGTAGGGTTTTAGATAATTTTATGCCCCAGAAAATAATATTCAAAAATAAATGTTATCACTTTCATGAGAGATCCAAGATATTTTACTTATAAATCCAAGAGAAAATAGAAATTTCAGGATATGTTCGCCATAGATTGAAAAGAGACCACCCAGGGCATAACAGTATTTGATCGAAAAGGAATTGAGTATTTGACTCAAACTGAAAATTGATATTTCGAACCTAGAATCTTGGATCTAACAGAATTCATAGTTTTAAGGTCTACGACATTAGGTTACAAAGATGAAGGTACTGAAAATCAAATTTCGTGGCTAAGACTCAATTCTTTAAATTCAACTTACTATAAAAAATAGTGAATTTTTTGAATTGTTAAAAACTAACCTCAATTAGTAAAATTGATCCAAACGTCATGACATACAAAAGCCAGGGCTTTTCCTGAAAATAACATTTTGAGATTAAACATTAAATGAAAAGAAAAGTAGTTTTACAGGGTGTCCCAATCAACATGAATTTTTTTTGACAACGCTAAAATTTTCTTTAATCACTAAGATGGATAATGACGAGTCTAGAATCAATATCTTATATCTATATAATAAATCTCTTCGCTCATAATATATATTTACGTAGATGTGTAATGAATGCCTTACTCCTAAAACTGCTTTCAGACCCGTATAAATCCAGGTACAATTCCCAAACCATCAATGCCAAACACAGGCAGGATCTCATTGGCTTCTATGTCAACACGGACACAATTGCTCGCAAACTATCAATGCCAAACCAATGGGCACGATCTCATGGGCTTCAATGTCAACATGGACACAAGCAGGCAAACTATTAATGCCAAACCAGTAATAGATAAAAACCTCAGCAACGCCATGGACTCTCCAGCTGTAGTACATTAAATTGAGTGGCTCCATAGCTTTTAAAGTAGCTTTTATGGCTTTATTCTAATTGTTTAATGGCATGTTTACCTTAAAAACAGTGTCAGATAATGGTTCCGCATTATCGTCCATTTTCATGGCTATGTGTTTCCTTTTCCGCTTTCTTTCTTCCCTCGCTATCAATCAATCAATCAATCAATCAATCAATCAGTCAATCAAACCGGCAATTTACACACATTTATGATTAGGCGGCTTAAACTAAGATTTCAGTGCGTACTGCATTGATCGGCATTACCCAGGCCGCATAAATAGTGGGTTGCAGTGGAGAGTGAGGACTCTCTATGCCTTGTCCAGGTATATTAAGTAGTTAGTCTTTTGAACCCCTTTCATTGAATACTTTTCATATTTTGTTGGGCTATATAATGTATACATGACGCGGCAAGGAAGAATAATTTTTAAAAGAAAAAATAACTTAAATTTTGTATCAAATGGAGTTACATGTCTACAGTCCGTTTAAAAATGTTTATTTTTCAAGTTTCATTCACTGTAATTCTAGTTTGTTGATATAATTTCCTAAGAAAATGATGAGAAGTATACACACGATCATTATGACACTTTGACCAGTAATATCCGTAGATACTAAAGCTGTGTCACTGTCAGAACTGAAAATAAAATAAAAATTTTTTTTATCATTATATTAATAGCCAATAACTCTTTAAAAGATTGAAATAACAATTTCTGTATCAAATATGATAATTTTAATGATAATTATAATAATAATAATAAAATAATAATGATAATGATAATAGTAATAATAATAACCTGCAACCGTAGAGTGTACATTCTTCAATGTTAAAAATGATCATTAATATTGAAATAACTGTTTGCAGATACAGATATACACTGTAGTTGCCTAAAAAATTAGATAAAAAATTAGATAAAAAATTAGATAAGAAATAGATAAAAGATTAGCTAAATATCTAGAATTAAAAAAAAATTATTTAAGCATCCTTTTCTGATCTGTCTTTAACTCTGCTTTTAATAAATGTTGAATCTAAAAATCTATCCAAGTTTAACATTGTACTATTCTGAATGATAACCTTTACACCGGACCTCTGTCCTATATTTACGAAAAGATGATTGAGATATCCTTGTTTTCTCTTTCTAAAGACTTACAGCCAGTGGCATCGTTTTATTAATAATCCACTCACGGATTTCTACAGCACCAACAAGTTTACAAAAATGATGTTATTTGTTCCATGACTTGTCTATATTTAAAATAATTGATTAGATTCAAGATTTTACCCCTATTTTTTCCATCCCGTGAATCAGTCCAGAGGTGTATACCGAAAGAGGGGGGGGGGGGGCTGTGGTGTCAGAGCCCCCTCCTCTCTTTTCCCTTTTTGTGAAAATGATTATTTCTATAAAAAAATTCATCCCCCAACTGGAGCTGAGCCCCCCCCCCCCTGTACAGTTTTATAAAGTTAGACCCCCTTTCCTTGTACAAAGTCCCGTATAGACAAAGAGAATAGAATATATATTAGAGTGGAATTTAGTAGAAAAAAGTGTAAAACGCCCATTTTGTTGTACTGTTTCCATACTGCACGTGTATTTCACATATTTGCGCTATATAACCTTTTGGGCCCTGGAATATCATTTTATAGAAAATCTAAAATTAATATTAAAAGAAAATCAAATTATGAAATAGACTTGTTTCATAATTGACCAATGATCATTTCACATAAACTCTTTGCCTTTCACTTTACAAACGATGATTTTCCGTTATATCTATAAATCAAATGATGTTTTTTATTCACTTAATTCATTATAAAGTTTATCTAACAGCTTTAAACAATTCAAAATTTAAATGGATAGTCTAGGGAACATACTGTATTAATGTACTCTACTGCATATAATTTGTGAACATTTACATGATTTGTACACTTTGAACTCACATATCACACATATCACCGATGGATTGTCTAAATTCCACTCTAATATATATTCTATTCTCTTTAGGTATAGACCTCTGAGGATCACTTAGGACAACTTTTCTTTTTAAGTTTTGATTTCTAGCAAGCTTTATTCAAATTACAAGTTTACAAGTAAACAAAGAGAAGCTGTTAATTGTTATGTCAGTGTTTCCGTGTTGTCTGATAAGGCTGGTAGAAATCAAAAATTGAAATCGAAAGTCGTCGTCTGTAAAAAATAGTTTTACCAGATCACTGGAGTAGGCACGAAAGCTTAGTGGAGAATATTGTGTGTGTAGGTGTACCGTGTACAGTGCACAATGTTGTAAATCATGTTCATTTCACTAGCTGTTTAAAATGTTGAGTTTAACAGTCGTATTTCCTTTCCTTAGTTTTATGGGTGTTAAATATTTTCTCAAGGGCGACTTCCCATGTGGCAACTTAGACTTCCCATGTAGTAACTTAGACTTCCCATGTAGTAACTTAGACTTCCCATGTGGCAACTTAGACTTCCCATGTGGCAACTTAGACTTCCCATGTGGCAACTTAGACTTCCCATGTGGCAACTTAGACTTCCCATGTGGCAACTTAGACTTCCCATGGGGCAACTTTCCAAATGTACAATTTGCCAAGCGGCAACTTCATGTGGCAACTTAGACTTCCCATGGGGCAACTTTCCAAATGTACAATTTGCCAAGCGGCAACTTCATGTGGCAACTTAGACTTCCCATGGGGCAACTTTCCAAATGTACAATTTGCCAAGCGGCAACTTCATGTGGCAACTTAGACTTCCCATGGGGCAACTTTCCAAATGTACAATTTGCCAAGCGGCAACTTCATGAAAGCTACAGGGTGTCCCAATAAACATGGGAATTCAGTGACGAATTCGATATCGTCTTTTTAAATAATTCTTTGATTTAGTATAGTGATACCTACTGAGAAAGCTGTAATCTGTAAGAGTTTCGTCTGCTATGTTCACATTGTGTTTGTTAAGGTTTTGACTGGATAGGGTTGTACTTAGTAAAACAAGAAAATTGCAGTATACAAACAGAGTAAACTTGTCGTCTTCACTGTTCATCTGAAATAAACTCTAGCAGACATAATAATATTATGGCTTTTGAAATTAGGTATTACAATGCTAATTCATTACAACGACGATATCAAATTCGCCACTAAATTCCCATGTTTTTTGGGACACCCTATAGGTTAGGCCTTCTGAGGCGCCACAGGCTGCAATGGAGGGCCGAGCACATGGTAGCTTTTGCTAGGAAAGGCTAGGGACCAAGTTCTGTTGCTAGGACAGACTTGGGAAGTATATATCTTTGGGAAATTGCACATTTTGAGAGTTCCCATTTGGGAATATACCCTTGGAAGTTGCTGCTTGGGAAAATTTTAATTTTTAATTTTTAATTTTTAATGGGTTCCATTGTATAGTTTAATGGGTTCCATTGTATAGTTTAATGGGTTCCATTGTATAGTTTAATGGGTTCCATTGTATAGTTTAATGGGTTCCATTGTATAGTTTAAAGACTTACTGAGTAGAATTCTTTGCTCGTATCTCTTATACTGATCCTCCAGGCTCTTCGCTCTAAACCGGTTCTGCAAAACAGATAATCCAAAATCTGGGGTCTCATTGTAAACAAACTTAGTGTCCTCCAGTCCAAACACACTCATTGTACTGCAGACTATTGTACTGCAGACTTTTTTCACGCAAAATTGCCGCTTTAGTGATTGCAAATTTAACCAAATGCTGCCTTCAGTCAAACCGCGTCAACCTAGTTGCACTGTAGTTGGTGTACCGGGCGGGGCAGTACAAACTAGGATCGTAAAGTTCGGTTCAGCTCAGATTCAAATGTGTTTTAACTCATTTGTTCAGAGTTAAGAAAGAACTGAGAATGATTAACTGATTTCTTATCTTGTATAAGGGATTATTGGTTGTAAAACTAGGAAAAGTAAAGCAATGAAATTAAGCTTCAAACATGTTTAAAACAAATATTTACGTAAATCATGTTTTTATTCAGCTAGGATTTAATGTTTTAAATCTAAAATTACAATCCTGGCTTATCACGTTAAAATGAAGTAAATTGCATGTAACATTAAAATCTCATATGTTTTCAATCACAAAGCTATTGAGAAAGAAAAAAATAGTTTTTAATTTTTGATACAATTAAACCTAACACCCTAATATATTATCTTCCTTTCCTTAGCATGGATTTCGACATATATCCATATCTATCTACCCAATCTCCAGGTATACCTTGAGATAGGAGAAGGTCCAAGATCTTTCTTCGCAAGCCCGACTCTTGTTGTGTTCACGGATAGCAGCAGCAGAAACAGAGGAGTCTCGGGGACTAAAGAAAATAATAATGATAATAAAATTATAATGATAATGATGATAATCAGATAGTGACAACAAAAAATATTGATATTGACAATTAGTACAGAAATATCTATAATAGTAAAAAAAGTATAAAAAAACAAACATTTTTTTTGATTATCATATATGATAGACTGGGTGTTTCTTTGTTTGTATGTATGTTGCATCATAAGTCAGAGAGCCTTCGACCGATTTGCCTCAAATTTTTAATAACCAGGTAAAAACATGAAAATGTTCTCAGTTTTTAACAATTTTAAGTGGGTTAACTTTTACAGGGAAAGTGTAGTTTCCAGGAAAAGCTGGGTTTCACATGTTCTGGATTGAAAAGATTGTTGAGATCTCCAAACAATGCTTGATTCAGAAGCTCCAAGGAAACATGACAGTTGGTGAATAATTTAAAATGTATTCTTCCATAATTACTTAAGTTGTTTAATACCAAAGAGAATTATAAGAATATTTAATGGTAGTCATATCATAGTAAAATTGATTTCAAAGTAAAATATATTTTAGTAAAAGATTTTATTGAACGAAAAAAATGAAAAAAGTCTTTAATATCTATAACAGTATAGGAAAGAAGACATTCCAAATTATTTACCAACTGTCATGTTTCGTGGGACACCCTGTAGTTATATATAATGTATAAAGTTTTAACATCATATTTTCAATTTTTCTGTGTGTCTGTCTGTTCAAACATAACTCATGAACCCCTTAACCGATTTGCCTCAAATTTTTATTGGGGAACTTAAGGAAACCACAAAAAGGTTCTGAACTTGTAAAACTTTGAGTTAAAAAGGTTAACTTGATGTGGAAACTTTGATTTCAGGTTGGAGTTAAAGGTTGTCTATATCAAGGATATAATGCAAGGAAAGTTAATTGAAGTTGCGTATACTCCGCGTACACATTGAAACCATTTCTTTCTGGGTGGAATTTGTAAAATAAAATAGATGCATCAGTGTTCGTTTAGTATCCGAGGAGGTTAAAAGCATTGCATTTTGAAAATTTTGATAATTCACATAATTGTTTCCTATGACCAGAATATTTCATTGATTTTTTATGTGAAAGATGGATCCCATGTCAGGCTGTGACATCCGTCTTGTGTTTACATTACCGCCCCGAGACAGTACACTGCAGTACAAAAGATGCGTACACCTCTGAGATAACTTTCCTTGCATTATAACCTTGGTCTATATAGTACAATTCTTCTCTCATACAGATTTAAAGTATCAGCTTCAAATATAAACATTTCAATATATCAATATTGGATCTCACTATATCTACATCATGTTTCAATATATTTCAATATATCAATATAGGATCTCACTATATCTACATCATGTTTCAATATATTTCAATAT